TCAGACGGAAGCGCACAAGTTAAAAAGTTAAAGCGCTCGTCCAGAAAGTTCGCTGCATAGGTAGGCTTGCTCCAGGTGCAAGGACTTGGGCGGTTGGCGGAGTTTGTTCTTGGACAACGTCTTGAAGTTGATGCTCTCACGAGTTTGACGCGTTCTGGAGGACATTTTGGATGCTTTGTTTGTGCACATTTTATCGCAGGCAGGTATTTTGGGCAGCACGACCCTTGCACAACCATAAGTAGCTCAGCCTTGCGATTTCCTTGCTTTCCGCTGCCCAGGATTTTGCGCCCCTTGCCTTTGAGGCAATGGATCTGGACAAGCTAGTTAACGATGCAACCAAGTATCTGGAAGGACCCCCCTTGCTGTCAAACAAGGAGGAAGTACGAAATGCAAAGCTTCTCCTGGCAAATATTGGAAGAAAAGAAATGGGAAATAACCTGTTCAAAGGAGAAGAGTTCGAACAGGCAATAAAGGTTTTCAGGGAGGCTTACCTGGATGTCTCAAAGATTCCTTGGTCGGAAAGCAAAAAGTACTACAATGATGCCATGAAACTTCTTGAAGCACTGCGCCTCAACCTGGCTGCCTCTCACACGAAGCTTGGGAACTTTGAGAGAGCTCTTGAATTTTGTTATTACGCCATCAAGCTTCGACCAGATGCGAACGCCAAGGCCTTCTACAGGTATGCCTTGACACTCTCATATCTATGTCACAGGCAGTCAGTGTTAAGGTCTGTCTTGAAGTCATATTTGGGTTTTTGCCAGGAAAGCGCAAGTGGAAGGTTGCAAGAAGGTTGACTCTCTTGCCAATGTCAGAATAATGGTTTCTGACCTACATGTTTGCATGCGTGCACATTTGTCAGATGGCATTGCACTAGCAGAAGGTTCCTGACAGGGTCGCGAACGTTGTTTGTGACTCCGTTAACACGTTTCGTCAGTGCTCGTTAGGTTGACATTGGGCTACGATTCTTGGGGTCTAGGGACTGGGCATACTTGGAGTGATCTCCATGTTTTCGACATGCTTGCAGGAGAGGCATGGCATATGAGGGTTTGCAAAACTTTGAAGCTGCTCAAGCAGATCTCAAGCACGCGATCCAACTAACCGGGGGTGATGCGGACATTCAGAAAGTTCTTGATAGAGTGGAGGCTGCTCTTGCGGCGAGGGCAGCGGAGAGCGAGGCTGTGAAAGCAGCCAGAGCAGAGAGAGAGAGGAAGAAGAAGCAGAAGCAAAGGAAGAAACAGGAGTTAGAGGCAGCTAGGTTAAGGCAGATTGAGGACGAGAAGAAGTCGAAGGAAGCTCAAGAAGAGGAGGCACGCAGAAAGCGAGTTGTGGCAGCAGAAGAGGCGGAGAGGAGGAAGAAGGATCTGCTGGCGCAGGAGGCTAGGGAGGCTAGGGAAGCTGAGGAGTTGAGGCGGAGAGAGGAGCAGAGGGCGGCCGACAAGCGGCGAGCTGCCGAGGAGAAGGCGCGGAAGAAGGCAGAGGAAAGGTTGAAGCAAGAGATGCGGGAGCAGAAGCGGAAAGAAAAGCAGATGGCTGAAGCGAGAGCCTATGAGCTGGCGCTCCAGAAGAGAGCACGGGAGCTAGAGCAGCTCGCCCTGCAAGAGAGGTTGGCCTTGCAGGAGGCTCAGCAAAGGTGGGTACATGATACGCTAGGCAAATGCCCATAGTGAGTTTGTTCCAGTGGCAGGCGTTGACCCAACTTGCCCAGGTCTTTTGTTGATGTATGGATCTGCATTACTTACGGGCACTGTCATTGTTCAAGTCTATGGTCACTGTGTCTGCATTATGTGAAGCAATTCTGCTGGATCATGATATCATCACCGCTTTCATGCTGACCGCTCGCTGCGCCCCCGTGCATCTGGATGAGTTTTAACGTTCTTCTTTTGGTTGTGCCAGTTCTGTGCAATCACAAGCAGATTCAAGAGAAGCGGCTGCAAGGGAGGGCCAGAGGCAAGTGCTTGCTCATCTGCAAAAGGAAGGTCAGTCACCATTGGACGGCAGAATCGTGGCCAACGGGAGTTCCATCAAGATTCCGGCCACTACATCAACCTCCATGGTTGAGAATGGTTTGCAACTCAGCAAAGACAATGGGCGGCCTTATACCCCGCCCTTGATCGGTTCCCCGAGCCGCGCTTCCCAAGCTCAATTCCCCCGATTACTGCCAAACCCGAATGAGGCAGAGAAAAGTCTGGTGGGTTCGTCAGCCACTGAGAGTCTGGGGGACAGCTCTTGGGATACAGTAGCGTCTGCTTGGCCAGAAGCAACTTGGGATGTTCAAGAAGACGTCCAAGCCCCAGTCAATTGGAACATAACGGGTCAGGATGAGCAAGGGTGCGTTATATGCATGGAGCGGGAGAAGAATGCTCTTTTGTTACCCTGTGGACATTTGTCAGCTTGCATGCAATGCATAGACATGGTTAAGAGCTCTGCCAAACCCCTGTGCCCGATCTGTAGACAAGCTATTGAGGACGTTATTCAGATAAGTTGAAAGGCAACTGTAGGATTTCATAATAAGATTAGCCTTTCCGAAAGGTCTTTCCAACTTCAAGCGTGACATCTTCTGGAGGTCGTCGCATGTGGGATTGCATGTCATGATGACGGGGTTTGTTCATAATCGGTTGCTGTGGAGGCATTGCATTCTGTCCCCAAGATTACGTTTTGCAAAAGATGAGAACCTTGAATGTGAAGAGCTGGTTAGCATGCCCGTACACTTGCGACTATGTAATGCGAGCATATTGGTGTTGCAAAGTTTCCTGGCTGCTGCAGGCCAGCTTGTGCATCAGTGATGCTGGATGGAACCCCAATAACCATCTAATTCAGTAGTATGCAGCCAACACGCTGCATGGCGGGCCTGTGTTTACACGTAGGTGCATGTGCAACCGATCGCATATGCGGCGCGACACTTTTTACATGATCATAAGCATCTATGGATGCAACGTGCCTACTTGCCAGGCGGTGCAGTTCATCGCGCATTGGGTGTAGCTATTCCCCAGGTCGTAATTCTGCCGTCAATCGTGGTGCAGATTGATACGTCATAATTCAGCTCAGTAACGCACACGATTGCCACAAGGTCCCGGTTATGGAACATACGCAGATGCTATCCATGCTTTTCAAAGTTTTCGCTCCGTAAAAGCCTAAGACCGAGTAGACAACAGCACAGACTTTTCTCAGACACAGCAACCCTCTGCATTGAAATCTTACATCGATTGCAGAGGACGCACAGCGACACCTTGACTTCCAATGCACGTACACTAGGACCGCTCTCTAATACCCTCTGCCTCGACCTCCATACCCGCCACCACCGCCTCCGTATCCGCCGCCACCGCCTCCGTAACCACCCCGTCCTCCCCCGCCACCGCCACCAGATGGGCATTGTGAGCTCCAGTGACCCGGCTCGCCGCACTTGAAGCAGCTTCCGCTCTTAGCACCGCCCCCTCCTCCTCCTCCTCCACCACCGCCGCCGCCGTAACGCTCCCCACCGCCGCCTCCGCTCGGGCACGAGCTTGCGAAGTGCCCCTCCTGACCGCACCGGTAGCATTTATTCCCGCCCCCGCCCCCGCCCCCGCTGGTGCCGTTGGCATAGCTCGAACCTCCGTACGTGCTCTGGGTCCCGCCGTACGAAGACGCTCCAGCACCGGGAGCGTTGTACCCGTTGTTTGCGGGAGGGGTTGCGCGGACGGGGCTGGTCAGCGGCTCACCACGACTCAGCTTGGCGATCTGCTCAGCGACGACCTTGCTCTCGGTCGCGAAGTCGGCCTGCCAAACGCACACACGACGAGTGTTTGTCAGCTCCGCCCCTGACAAAAACTGAATGCGACACCCTCAGCAAGCGACGCGAATAGCAAGCAAAGGAAAACACGTCACTACATGCTTCACAGAAAGAAACAAAACGTGCCGCCTGAGCAGAAAGCTGTCTACGAACGGCCCGTTCTCAGCTCACCTTCTCTGCCTTGATGATTTGGACCTTGATCCGCCGCTCGTCGTTGTACGTCTCCTCCTTGACCTTGAGCTTCATCAGCCAGTGATCGAACTGGGCGTTCACAAAGGCGTTTGTGTACGGTATATTGTTCCCCGTGTTGTCGGCCTCTTCCTGCACCACAAGTTGAACCCCATCGTCAGACTTCCATACGTATCACTAAGTGCCGGCAGGGGCCTCTTGAAAAGCGGTGAAAGCTTGAGCGATTAGGGTAGACCTACTTCCGATCGAAAAAAAGTCTTGCAGCGACTCAACTCCTTACTTGGCACCGCTTAAAAGCATACGCAGTCTTCTGAGCGTCGTTGAACGACACCGTTCCCCTGCGTTTCTGTCAAGAACGAGAATCTGAGCCGGTAAAGCATCCTCTTTTGCAAAGGGCACCCAGCTCTACTGCGCGCTCACTTTCAGTCTGTACAGCTCCCCCGCGTTCATGCCCATGATGTCCTCCCCGGTCTCCTGGAACGCGGTGACCCACTCCCCCCCGGTGTGGTCCTTGAGCTGCACGCCCAGCAGGTAGCGGTACTCGGGGGCCGGGATGTCGTCCCGGTTGCACCGCTCGCACGCCCACCCGCCCGTCGACGGGGTCAGCTTCTTGTTGCACTGCCGGTCGCCCTCCACCTTGTTCGGACACGCCGCGTAGTACGGGTTCTCCTGGAGTTGGGTAAAGAGGATCGGTTTGAGGAGAGGGTCTGACGAGGCACAGCGCTTGAAGCGGAGGCAAGTGGCTTCAGCTTGCTGGCACGTGTCTCGAATGAGTGCAGTGATGCACAAGTCGGCAGAGCTAGCAACGAGGCTTTTGTGGAAAGAAGGGACTGTGACGCGCCAGACAGAGAATCCTGATGGGCCTGAATCATTCACTTTCAAGAACAAGAAGCGCCCAGGCGAATCTGTATCCAAGCCAGATTGTTGGGCCGGACTCCTGGATCCACACGAGGCGATGCCAATCAAAGCGACGCCCAAGCGAGTAAATGGCTGAATCTTCGGCGCTCCCACAATTGGCCGAAAGCAAAGAAGCTGGTTCAATGACCCGTCGCTTGTAGGCAAGTTGAAAGAGCTGACCTGTTTGATGAAGGCGATGGTCCCCCGCACAGCAATGTAGTCTGGCTTGTTCCCTCGGCCCAGCCCCTCGTCCTTGATCTGCGCGACGAACTTTCTGGTCTCCCGGCCGCCAGATGCCTCACGGGAGATGCTCTGCGGCGCCAGGCTCCTTCCTTCACTCTCGTACCAAGCCTTGAGCCTGACGACAGCGGAACTCAGGGATCAGAAACCCAGCTAAGCAACCGGCACCCTGGTTTACATTGAGCGTCCAAAACATTCTCTCCATCAATCCAAGAAGTCTTCAGATAACGAGCAGTGGCTCTGTCAGGAAGCTTAAACCCAGTCCTCCGGATCGAGGAGACATATGGTCTCCCTCACAAGCAACGCGTTCTTTAAGCAGACAGAGGCATGCACACCGCACAGACCGGGTCTGGACAGACTACAAGAAGCAATTGAATGATACCCAAAATTCAGGGCACGGGAGATGCAAACAACAACCGACCTGTGCGCCTCCACGATGTCGGGGTCGATGGCCAGCTGTGACGTCGAGATCGTCCCAATCGTGCGCCCGCTAAAGTCGCTCGTCCGCCCGCCCTTGACCGCGAGCACGGGGTGCTGCCCATTGTCCAGACTGTCCTGCAGCCGCTGCCCCTCCCGGTTGCAGAAGCTGCCCCAGAGCGTTACCTCGACGGACTTGCCGGACGTGTCCTTAATGGTCAGCGAGCGCTTCTCTGTCTCGCGCCCGTCCTTGCGGGTAATGATGTTGGTCGGGAGGACAGTCTCCACCACGCCGATCACGTCCACCATCGACTCGCGGGCCTCGTTCTCGATCACGTCGATGGTCCTGGCAATGCCAAGATGGCCGGTCAGCTCGAGCACATTCGGGGCTGTCAAGAAAAAGGTCGCTGATTTCAAGACGGTCCAAAGAGGATCAGTCAGCCAGAAACAAGCCATGAGGACGGACCGGTTCATGTTCGATCGTGGACAGGGTAGTTTAACGGGATTGAGTACTCCACCAGAAGAGGCTAGAGATAGAGATCTGTTGAACGAATTAACCCTGGGGTACATTCTGGCTGCCATGAAAAGTGGAGTTGAGACAGACAGCCACAGGGAACCAAGTGAAAGACTAAACCCTGGAAAGCAAATGAGAGCAAAAAGTTTGGTGTTAAGGAGGCAGTGGAAGAACCATGCGGCCAAACTGATGGTTAAAAGACCAGGAATGTAAGGGAAGTCCGAACCCAACGAACAGCCCCCCGAAAAAAACGTCTGCCTTGCCCGTCCTCGTCAACCTCAGATGCCATAGGTCTCCAAAACTGCCATGGTGCAGTAGTCAAGAACCTCTGATATCAACATCACAAAGATCAGAAAGCACAGGCTTAGAGGTCACAGCACTACATGCTAATTCTTCAAGCAACTCACTTGAAGTCGTAGACCTGCTGAGGGATGCTGCCGTCCTCGTCCATGGACAGCTGCACGACTGTGTTGTTGTCTAGCATGATCTCCCACTCGTTCTTCAGGTGGTTGAACTCCTTCCTGGTCGGCTTCAGGGATCCCCCGGTGATCAGGTACACTTTCCCCTCCTCAAACAGCTCGTAGAACTTGTCCACCGTCTGGTTGAAGCACGTGGCGCGCACCTCCCCCCCCTCGGAATCCAGAAGGTCGATGCTGAACACCTTCCCGTCGCCCTTCTGGTTGTGGTAGCGCCGGATGTCGCTCTTGAGCGTCACCCTCGCCTTGATGGTCCACTTGTTCTGGTAGGGGTTCAGGCTCGATATCGGAGCAATCCGCGCGGGCGCCTGGTTCCTGGCGATCGGACCCCTGCTTGAATACTGGGGGGCTGTCGCAGGCGCCCCCATCGCACCCCTGCCTTGACCGTAGCCCCCACCCATACCCCCCCCCATTCCACCAGCCATACCGCCCCCCATGCCGCCCATGGACATGCCTCGGCCCATGCCCCCCCCTCCAAAACCATTCGCAGCCGGCTGTCCGTACCCTCCATTGGCCTGGCCATAGCCCGAATTGTATGCAGGAGCCGCAGCAGGGGCAGCGTTGGCATAAGGGTTTGACGGAGGCGCGGGGTTGCCGTAACCAGGGGTGAGGGGAGCTTGTGCTGGGGGCGCAGCCTGGTAGCCACCACTAGCCTGAGGGGGCCCCTGCTGTGCCTGAAAGCCGTTAGGTCCAGCTCCCGGGTTGATGACTGATCCGGGAACTGCTGGTCCTGGTTGCGGAGGACCCAGGGGCTCTGCGTCCAGCTGAAGCACCTCCAAACTCAGCACGATGATGATTCTGCAAGGTAACAAAATGATCCACCAAGTGAGTTAAAGTTGTCTCCTACCGTACCGCCAAGAGAATTAGCACCATCTCTGGTGTGAAAACTCAATTTCGTTCATCCTGAGGATTCACCCGGCGCCATGAAGTAGTTTTTTACATTTCACACAAGAGCCTTTTTGTTGATATTTCTACACTGAAAGTCAACGAAACGGCCTTTTCCTTGATTATGTTATGTTTCACTTTTTCACACTTGGCTCCCATTTGATTTCCAGAATGTCACACAGGCCCCAAAATTGTTCTTTTTGGGTGAATTCCCTTGGCCGTTCGGTATATTGGTTATATGGAGCCAAGGCCAGCAAAGCCGGTTTGACATCCATGGAGATTGCTAGGGTGCAGTTCAAAGCAGAGGGATCGAGTCAGTAGGCATTTCATTTGCATTGGGAAGATTAAATGATTCTGTAAGGACCTTCCTGAAGATCCAGGATTAGGGTTCCCACAACCCTTCACTGCAGAGAAAGTTTCTCTATGTTTTCAAAAGTGTTGTGAGCAATTGCAAGGTTATGATGGAATTGCTGTTTGCAACCAAGGGCCTTCCGATTTCACATATTCCCTTTGCTTATTTGCATAAAGCACTGGCCAGTCGTGTACAAAGGCAATTGTACCACCATTGTCTACCTTTTCAGTATCTGAGGTGTGTCGCTGAGATCTCCCCGAGCTACTTGAGGTGTTGTGTTGAGCTGGCACTGCTTTTTCTGAAAAAAGTGCTCAGTAGTGGAAGAGTAGAATGAGCAAACGTCATAGACAGGCTCCATCCAAAAAGAAACACTTACTTGCGGTTCTGCACAGTGTTGCAGATGTACTCCTGCAACACAAGGATGGAGTTCTTCTTCACTCTCCCGGTCTTAACGAAGTCGTTCAGCTGTGTGGCCAGCATCGCCTGCTGAATCTGACTCCCATCTGTCAGCGCCAGCCGAAACCTCTCCTGAGGGCCTGACTGGTTGCCAATAGGCTTGATATCAGTGACCTGTACCACTGCCTGCAGGTCTGTCTGCCCAGCCTGAATGAGCTGAATAGCATCCTTCGTAAGCTCCACCATTTTTGCGTGTCTGTTTGTGATATTTGATACAGGTCAGCAAGAACCAGACACCTGGTGTTCAGCAATGAGTGTCTGCTTCCGAAACGACAGATATCCCCTGATCTCTGTCAAGGTCCAACTCCCTTTACAGGCACGGCCGCATCCCGCCCGCCGAAGGTTGAAGGGCTCACTTTGGGCCACAGCAAAATGAGGAACGAGCACACCACCTATTTATTGAACAGGTGTGAGCTGTACGCCGCCACTGCGTGCCTTGAAGTTGACTACCGTAGCAAGTGCGACTAGCATTTGCAGGTCTCAATGACAAGAGAACTTTATGAAGCAACTTCTTGAAGGTGCTCTTAGAATTTCAGAGAAGTGGCGGGAAACTTGCCCAGTAATTGCAGGACGGGAACCGTGCTGCAGTTTGTACCATGTTGTTCGACGGATCGAATTTTGCCACCCGGTTCTGATCCGGACACGAGTTTCGACGTCGAAGTACATTTTCAGTGAGCCCAGGACCCATGAACCACGTTCGATTTGTTGCATGAAGTGACCTTATAGTCTGTAAACCGTTGATGACTGTATATCGTTGTAGAGAAGACAATGGCCGTCGGATCGTTCTGAGATCTACTGGACGGTTACGATCCTGGCCATCATAATACTCGATTGGCCAAGCAAGAAATTAGGGTTTGCAAGGCATGTGATCCTGAATCCTGATGCTTCAAGTTCAAATTGGCTTTGAAAGCCTGACATGCCGGTCATTGGTGACAATGTCAGATCCAAAAATGCCGCTGCTGCAATCGTGATTAGATGATCTTTCCTCCAGAAGAAGGATTTCGTGTTCAATTTGGCCGAGTTGCTTCCTTTCCTTGATGCTTGAAGGCTTTTCCAAGCAATGCTGTGCAATGTTTTTCGGAAACTTTAAAATTCAATCAGGACAGTTCATACATGTACGGCTTCCTTGCAAAGAGAACGTCCGAAGGGAGCAGCCCTCCAGATTGCCATGGGCTTCCAAGTTGGTGGGAGCCATCTGCACATACTGTAGTGTTGAGATCAGGCATCAGCAAGCATGAGGTTCGCTCCTCCCTTGCGCCCTGATAGGGAGTCTGCAGACTCTGGGACAAGCAGGGCTGCTTTGATAAATTCTGCAGTAGGCAACTCGTTCCTCTCTCCACGGAAGGGCCGTCCTTCCAATGGCAAACCAGACGGGAGTCAGCCAGAAAGTACAAAGCCAGCAACAATCGTGCAAATTGGGGGAAAGGTCCCAACCTTGGCAATCTCCCAGATGCAGAGCCAGAGGGAAGAGAAGGAGAATCTAGGACATCTGTCTGCGCGCAGTTTCAGGGGGCAGTCAGATGCAGCGGCAGCAGAGAGAATGGTGCACAGCGCAAGAAGTTTATCCCCCCAGAGGAGAACCAGGCTGCAGAGGATGCTTGAGAGGGAAGGCTTGAAGGAAGCCTTAAGCACATTGCTGCAGGTGGGACACGTGCTTCATTCCCCACAGTCCATCAGCCAGAAGGGGCCAGCCTGACCGGCTTCCTGAGATTGCACGATTTATCTTTAGGCTCATCTTCACTGATTCTCTTCAACCAAGGCCGGCTAGCATTGCTCGTGACTCGGTGAACCTAGGATCCACAACTGTCTTGAACCGATTTTCTGCTCACAAGTGCTGGAGAAGGAAGATGTTGCACCTGCAAACTGGTCCGATCTATCAGTCAAAAGGGCAGCATATGCATCTTTACAAGCAATGCTGAAGACTTTCTATCCTTGATTTATGTCCATCACCACAAGCCCATTGTAGTCATGGTAACATACAGGGAATGAGGCTATCGTCTTGGGTCCTTATTCTCAGCTCGACTTATGTCGAGCACTCCACTGAATGTGCGACTTTGCATGACTCTCCAGGCAACGAGCCCCCGCAAGAAGTGGGACCCAGCTTTGGTGGAAGATCAGGTGGACAAGCTCCTGGGGGGGCAGGGCAACAGCCTCCACCCCTCCCCCAGCAAAGTACGTCCAGCGATGGAAGCTCAGACTAGCCAAGGGGGGCAGGACCCTGAAAATAAGCATGGAGAAAGCCCGATTAGAGCACGCCCCGCAAGGGACTTGCGGCCCGCCACAGCGGGGGTGAGCCCAACGAGACGAAGCCAGGACCTACAAAGGGGGGGTGCGGAAGACCAAGGGCGGCCGTCTACTGCGAGTGCAGGTTCGCAGAGGGGCCAGCTGGAAGGGGGGGTAAAGCGAGAGGATGACGCGCAGGAAAGGAGCCTTAGCCCCCGAAAGGCCCCCCTACCGAGGCCGGGCACGGCGGGTGGGGTGGAGCAGAAGGGGGACTCGGTGCAGCTGATGCCAACATACACGGTGGCGGGGAAGAGGATGCCGCTGATCCAGCTGTTGCGGGAAAAGATCTGGCAGGTGGGGATCAGGTGTCGCCTGCACAATGGAGTTGGAGCATTTTCACAACGTCTGTTTGTAGTATTTTGTCTAATGAGCTTTGGCGGAGGGTATGAGCTCAGGCCTCTCATGACAGAGTGGGAGCCTCTATTCATCAGATCAACAGCTGTGGTAAGAACGCGGTCCGAAAAACTCGCCATGTTCTGTTGACTTATGGGGGATGTTCGAACGCCTTGAACACTCGATTCCATGAAGTTGGAGCTTCTGGAATAGTCTGGCAAGGTTGCTTCAACATCAAATTCCTAACAGACAGTTCGCTGGCGGAGGTTGTGCTTCTTTGTGGAAGGCATTACGGGGAGGTCTTTTATCCAAGCTCCATCGGAAACGGCTCCAAGAAACAGCTTAGTTCAGCTTGTAAACTGCATGCAAATGATTGTGAAAGCGCAAAAAGCAGAAACAGACTTGCTAAATCGATGACGCACAAAGCGGCCGAGCTGAGCTGACACATCAGCTTCGAAATCACCTGAACATATCTTTCAAAGATAATCAAAAGGAATGCATCCTTCCGGGGGACTAAGATGGAGTCGGCAGAAGTAGCGGTTTCAGTTGTGTAGCTCCCGGAGGCAGCGTCAGGAGCTGCAGGGACTTCAGCAAACGCACATATAGACCTCGCTCGAGTCCCAAGCACTGCCCTCCTTCCTTACATGCAGCGGGCCCTGGACGGAGCGTCCCAAGTGGTCAAGTATTTCAAGTGGCACCACCGAAAGCGGTTCTGAGATTCTTGTGTGCTCTGGAATCTGTTTGACACTGAATTCCTCGTCGACAGAACGTGCCAGCTGCTCAAGCTCAGAGCGCAAGACCATGAGCAGGGGTATTGAAGGCAGAATAGTCTGCTCTCGAACCCTGTTGATATCGGCAAGTTTCCGTTGTAGCCGGCCCCCGGCGGCGCACACCAGCTGCTCGAGTGCTTCAAGAATCGTAGGTGGTACCCAAGGAAACTCTTACCTTGTTAATCCCAAAGTCCGGCAGCGGCACGCAGCAGCTGCTTAAGACGGAGGAGCGTAAGCACCTGTCTCTAGAAGATTAGCGTCTGCTTTCGAACCTTGTTAATCTGAACATTCCCCATGCAGCGATCCCCGGGTGACGCGTACCAGCTGCTCAAGTGCTTCAAGACGCAAGAGCATCATAAGTAGCACCGAAGAAAACGTATACCTTGTTGACACAGACGATTTATCGCGCAGCGGTCCCCCGGCGGTGCTCACCAGCTGCTCAAGTGCTTCAACCAGCTGGACCGCGACCACAGCGGCGCCATCAGCCAGGACGAGATGCGGCGCTTCCTCGCCACCTTCCACGTGGACGTCGACCCACGCACGCTGCACGCCTTCGTCTCAGCGCTCGACGCGAACAAGGACGGCAACATCGACTACGAGGTACGCACACCGGGTGACCTGCATTCTCTGAAAGCAAGCATACGGGAGCTTTCAGGGCTGGGTGGACTTCGTGGAGTGTTCGTTTGTGGGCACGAAAGGAAAGGCGCAAAGTAGATTCCTACCGTTGTGAGGTGTGCTCCTGGGGGTGTGGGTTCGAGGCCGTGCTTCGGCACTCAGCAACGAAGGTGGGCAGACCGAGTAGCTGAATCTCCTTGCGTTGGTATTCTTCAACTCAATGTGCCAACTCGTCTGCAACAAGTCCAGCTGCACTGTGCGCCAAGACACCAAGAAGACAGGGTAAGCTGCACGTGCACCCAAGATAGCCGGCCCGTTCTTCTAACATCTGCTTCGAAGCTGCTTTCGGAGTACTTCAGCGACCGACCCACCTCCCCACTTCCTTGCAGGAGTTCGTCCAGAAGCTGCTCCCTCAATCCTCCCTCGACTGAACTGTCCCCCTCCCTCCCAGAAGAAATCTTACCCGACTCTGCTCCGGGAGGACTTCCCCGACTCACCCGCCCCCCTTCCTCCTTGCAGGATTTTGTCCAGAAGCTGCTCCCGGAGGACTTCCCCGGGCGCAACGGCATGGGCCGCTTCGGCGGCGGCCAGGAGAACTACCTCATCACGAAGCTCAACACCGCGCGTGCGTTCGAGGCGCGCCGGCGGGCGGCCGTGCAGCAGTGGCAGTCGCGCATGTCGGTGGACGACCTGGAGCGGCTGATGCGCGAGAAACTAGAGGGGCGGGTGCGCGGCGGGCCGAGCCACCTGCGCAAGGCGTTCCGCTACCTGGACCGCGACGGCGACGGGAAGCTCAGCCCGGCGGAATTCCAGCTGGTGAGGCGTCAGCTAGTGTCTGAGCGTGCGTAATCGGGGGGGCTAATTGTCATGACAACGCGCCGTGAAAGGAACTGGTATCGGCTGTATTCGGGCTCGCCAAAAAGAGGGCGAACTGCGCTTTCGTGGAAAGGAGATTTGTCGCAGCTCCATGTGCCTGTCTTTTGAAGGGTCGGTTGTCGTTCTAATGGTCTGTGGTCGTCCAGACGAAAGCGAAGAACAACGTTGAGTAGAAGGGGCTGAGGCAGCGCGCTGTCGGGGAAAGTTCGAAGAGCGGGCCTTGCAAGCCGATGTGGCCGTTTCCCGGGGCCTAAGACTTACCGACCTGGCTATCCATCGAGAAAATACGCGGGGCAAGAGAGGAGTAGAGATGGACTGCACGATTGTACTGTGAACTCAGATTCTGACGTCGCTCGCTTATTTGCTCAGATGCTGGGCACGTTCAACATCAACCCGAGCCCCGACGAATACGCTGCACTGCTCGCGCGGTACGACCCCAACGGCGACGGCGTGATCGACTACTACGAGTTCATTGACAAGCTGATGCCCCCGGAGTTCGAGACAAAGAAACAGGCGAGGCACCAACCGCTGCTGGACTTTTTGATTTCAATCTATTAGAATCTTCTTGTCGAGCTCATTCTGTGAATTATTGACCCACTTCGCCCTGCTGGAAGGGCAGTAACATGTCGGGAAGCGGAGAGTCTCTCTATAAGGAACCGTTCCAGACCATGTAGAGATAAAGCCTACGAACGAAGAAGCATGATATAGATCTGATACTCGCTGTTATCTTGATATTCCCGCCCCTGCCGGAGACTGAAGCTTGCGGTTCTTTCGGCCCTTCAACTTGGCATGTTCAGTCACCAGTAGCGCTCCACCATACTGAAACCTGTTCCGTCCGTCCAGATGGCCCAACGGAGAGCCGAGAAGATGCAAGCGGAATCCAGCAAGCGGCTGGAGTTCTACGAGCAGGCGTTCCGGGAAGCGGCGGCCCCTCCACACCCGAACGGCGCAGAAGCGTCCGTTCGGCTGTCCCTCGAGAGCATCCGGAAGGCGTGCGCGGACAAACACCTGCCGTTGGATGACGAAGCCATGCAACTGATGGCCGACACGTGTCGCGCCAGCGCGGACGGCAAGCTGGACGTCCGGCAGTTCGCGCAGCAGCTGCGCGCGGCCGCGGACCGCGCGGTGGCGCGCGAAGTGTTGCACGTGCCGCGCGACCTGATGGCTGGGTTCGGAAACCCGGCCGACGGGCCGGCGGGCGCGCGCGCGGGCGGCAGCGCGGCCGCGCTGGTCAGCGGCAAGCGGCCAATGACCCTCGCCCAGGTGGCGGAGATGTTCAACGAGAAGGTGGCCGGCAGGTTCCACGGGCGAGGCCCGCAAGAGGTACGCGCGCGGCTGCCTCTGCTGTTGTCACTTTAATGCCTTTGTTACCTATGTTGTGAGTCTGCAATGATGCAACTGGAGAAAATGTTACCGTAAAACGCGGGTTCTGTACACGTCTGCTACTTTGACATAACGGCTTCTCAAGTTCTCCCGCTGCCGTTGAGCTCACTTTTTGGGGATTACGTGCTCACCCGGGCGGTCTTCAGATTACTAAGGTTCAACAACGTGACGTCATGCCTGTCCGCTGATGTTCCGGGGTCCCCAACTCCAGGACATGCGCATGGCCTTCGCCCACTTCGACGTCACCGGACGCGGTAAGCTGGACCACGCTGACGTCAGCCGGGCCTTCCAGAACTTCAACATGCGGCTGACGGCCAGCCAGAAGCAGGAGCTGCTTGCCAAGTGAGTCTAGCCCCTTGGAACGCGGAACTTTTGCCGGCCTCGGCGACATCACGCTGACGGAATAGTAGGTTGACCAGGCAATGCACCGGTAGACATCGACCCGCCATTTTCCGGACCACCGGTGATTACGTTCTGCTTACGATCGCAAAATTACCGTCGCTGGCGGGTTACTTCGGATTCGGGCAACCTTTCACCGGCGATTCAGCCTCGAGGGCTTTCACCTGGCTCCCTGCATCAGCTCCCTTGTCACCTTCTTGCTTCCATCGGGCTTTACTCCCTGGAGAAGTGCTTGCTTTTATCGGACGGGCCGAGACCGCTCCCGTTCGGTACATTGGTGCCCATCTCTCAGACCGGAGCCAACCACAAGTCCTGGAGCCTTGAGACAAATCCTCCGTGCCAGCCCCTGCCAGGTTCGTGAAAGCTGTTGCATCGTTCATTTTCATTGCGAGGCCCTTCGAGCACAGATGGACAATACCCTGGTTTGCCTGGCTCTTCGAACCTGTTTCGATCGCCCCCTCCTTTTCCTTTCCCCCAGGTTGGACCCCGAACAGACCGGTTTCGTCACGTTCGCGGCCTTTGACACAGTGCTCGGCACCAAGCCGGACCTGGGCTTCTTCCCCGAGAAGCGCCCGGGGCCCTTCGTGCCGCTGCAGAAGAACGGGCGCCCCTTCACGGCGACCCCGCGCGTCAACAACGTCAGCATGGAGGTCTGGGGCCAGCTGGACGGGTCGCCGCAAGTGGGCCCCGCGGGGGCCGGCAAGGAAGGTGGGTGGCCTTCGGTTTCGTTCCGGAAAGTGCACCCGGCTATGGAAGAGGAAGATGTTCCTGTCTGTGCTCACTTTGACTCAATTGTGCTTATCAACAATCGCGAGTGCTTTTGGATCCAAGAAGTGCCACCGAGATTTTCCACCTTGCAGTAGAACCAGATTTTGACTCGATCTGGCAATTTTCCGACGAGTCTGATCGGATTTCCGACAAACTAGGTTGTCGAACCACGAGACTTTGGTTCTGGTTTTTGAGACTTAGAAGGTCGATTGACTCATAAAACACGATAACCAGTCGGTCATCGTAAGCCAGGGAATCTGTTCCAGTGCCACGAAGTTGCTCAACATTTCAGCAGTCTAATTTTCCGCTTCCTTCTCTGCAGAGGAGCCTGCCACGTCACCTCGGCGCCTGATCATGACCCCCCGGAGCGCCCTCCAGTCCTCTAACGGCACTCGGCCCCAAACTTCCCAGAGCCTAGCGGGCCGCCGCCCGGGCACGACGTCCCCGGTTGCCAGCAGCGAAGATGGGTCGGTTGACGGCGGCCAGAAGAACCGGCGCCCTAGCGGCAGGAGCTCGTCCGGGCTCCTCTACCGGTCGCCGTACGCAGCGGAAAGCTCGGGCGTTCTGAGGAAACCGAGCAGGCACCCGGGCGGCAACGCGCCCCTGCCGAACCTCCCGGTCGCGAGCAGGCCGTCGACGGCTGCGTCGGCCGCGAAACCCCAGAACTTCGACTTTGGCGGTCTTACGCCGCGGTAACTAGGGCGGCCTGTGCATGGGGCTAGGATGCGTGCGAACTAACTTATTATACGGGTGGCTAACAAAGTTTGCGTTGGATATCTAGGTGTAGGGTAGAGTGTACAGCTTTTGCGGGCGCAGAAGGTACCGCATAATGCGAGCCAGCCGACTGTTGCAAAGTCGTCAAAAGATGACGAGATGACGTAGGGAAGCCTGGCATACTTTCACCGTACCTCCTCGCTCTGACGGACTTATACAGATGATGAGTACCTGTTGACAAGCTTTCAGTGTTAAGTTTCGGGACTGTGGCAGCGTAGAAGAGAGTATGTAGCGGAAGCTCAGAGATACTTCCAAGTATTGACGAGACATTTAACACTGGTAGGTCCTTTGCTATATATTGCGGCTAGCTCAACAGCTTATATGAGGGCCGGTTTGAGCATGCAAAACCTAGCTCCACAATCTACGATTCGATCGATTTGCGTCCGTGGTGCAATCATGCAGATCAAGCAGTCATGCATACAATAATCACTTGAAAATGGTGATGGTCGGGCGCGATGCGTAAACTTTTCAGGTCATGGGCGCGTAGCTTATCAATGTCTTGCGCGCATCAACCGTCCCAGGCAATGATGGGATTATAAAGCCGACTCGTCGGAAAATATGTGAATCTTTGCGGAAGCGATCTTATGATAACGCCATCGTATGGGCTTCTGTGCACTCGCATGCTGACATGCGCGTGTGACGAATTTGAAATATCACGAGTTTGTCGCAAAAGGATGGGGCTACGCGCGCTCGGGCGCGGCCGCCCTTCCTTGATAAACCTTTCAAACCCTCGAGGCGTCGACGGTCGTGCATGTAACCTCCGGATAACTTAGGTTGACAGGTGAGTGTATAGACAGCATATTGTAAATGGCCGGACATGACTGAACTCGAATTTCCAATTGACCCAAGTAAGAGACATGGAGCAGTATTAGGCGCTTGGTATTGCATCTCCTTCCTAGCATGGCCGCCCACTCACCAACTACGTAATCATGAGCATGTTGCAACATGAGAGGCTCCGCAGAGTGCCGGTGAATACGGCTGATGTGCATGGTGCGGCGCCGGAAGCTCCGCCGGAAGTGTACCTCATTCTTTAGCGGAGACCCGCGTTTAATTCTCACACACGGAACTGACGGTCTTGCCATCGGACGAACCAAGGTTCTGAATCGTTCAAATCAGGACTCTGATTAAGCGGCCAAGGTTTGACGAGTTGGGCGAAAGGTCACATCACTTGCGTAATCATAAGCATTTTACCTGTGATGCAAAGCGCCAACAGCAAAGACTTCGTGACAAGACAGATGCTCGGTCTGCATAACCCGCCATGGCTTTTTTGACGCCAGCTTGCTCATCGCTTCTGGTCCTGCGCCAGAAAGCAACATAAGATGTATCTGTAGTCAACTTGCACATCTCGCAAGGCGTCCCGTACTCACTCTGAATACCAACTAAGTCGAGGAGGAAGGCTCAACCTGCAAAAATGGTCAGTTGATCAGGAGGGCAGTATAATCAAAGAATCTAATTGTAGGGCTTGTGTAATCATAGAGGAAAATCAAAAAAAAGGAGCAGCTGCCTGCGCCAGGAATCCGCTGCAGAAAGGCTAGCATCTCAACGCCTCAAATCTTGGTCCTAAGAAAACGATAGACTCAATAACTGGACGGTTGTCTGGACCTCCCATGAGACAGAATTTGAGCTATACTTAGCAAGCAATGGATGTCTTAGAGGATGGCAACGAGGCCGGGCACCCAGGAGCGACAGAACTTGCCCTCCACGGAATGCCTATGATCGCCAGCACCGATGGAAGAGATCTTGAACAGAGCTCTTCACCTACCCGTTCCAATCACGTGCAGAGAGCTGAATCATTACAAGAGCCTGCTTTTGCGTCAGCATGGCCCCCGTGCTATGTTTGTCCCAACCCTTTGCTCCTCTCGGCGGTTCTGGATGTCCGCAAGCGGTACGTTTTTCCAAGTTTAGAGAGCTGGCTGCCATACTTCAAGGATTCCTGGAATGACAGGCAGATACAGGATTGGTCTTCGGGACGCTTATACAGTGAACGGGTCGAAGATGAGCCCGCAAGAAAAGAAGAGCATGACAAATTCATGAAGGTCCTCTTGGGAGACGAAGAGGAACTTCCACCCGTCATCCCCGGGACTGACTGCTTTAATCCGGTGCTGGAGAGATTCTGGCTCCCCTGGGCACGGTAAGCCACTTGATTCGCGGTGCTTTCTCGCGCAATAAGCTGCTGCCATTCGAGAGGAGGCAGACTGAGATGCAGTATGCGCCTTGATGCACCATTCACGTCTTTAGCCCCCTGATTCCGTTGCTCTGATTACGCATGCTTACCATCTTCATGGTGTGCTCACGCCCACCTCAACGCAGAATCGAAGGTCAATTCGATGCGTCTCAGATAGAAGTCCGTTCAGGTGCTGAAGAATAGCCCGAAGCACAATCAAGATTGCTACCACCCTCTTTTTTTCTTTTGTGAGGAGAATATCTCCTATATGCTCACTTCTATAAAAGTGAAGTTGCTGCTTTCAACGTCACCTTACAAGCTGCCTGAGTATGAGGAAGACCTGCTAGAGCTCTTCAAAGGCTCCAGATCTTTCACGTTGACAAAGCTTCTTCCGTCGGTAGTCCTTGGTTACCCATCTTTGCACGGATTCATCTGTAAGGAATTCAGAGCCAAATTAATCCAGTCATTATATAGACCGTTCAAGATCTGCATGATTCGAAAATGGGTCAGAGAGTGCACCGTATCACCCTCTGAAGACGTTCTCCTAACGCTCCCTCAAAATCGTACTTCTTGCAGGGCCATTCTTCTATCGCCAACGTTTATAGCGTGTAACCATCCGATCCGAAATGCTGCGAACCACCTGGCATTTGATGCCATCCGGCAGCAAATCGCCTGGTCCGTACCGACGCTCCCCGTTCTCCGGTACATGGTCCAGACCGCGCCCGGCGGCCGCATCTTGGACGTGGGTGCGGGAACCGGGTACTGGAGCGCGCTCTTGGCAGGGTTGGGTGCGGACGTCAAAGCGGTGGACAACTTCTCGTGGTGGCCGAGACAGGGCAAAGTGAGCGAAGAGGACTCTCCGGAGGTTCGCTTGGAGGTGGGTGTATATGTTTTGCATCCTTCACGCACTCTTGGCGAGAGATGGGCGGTACTCAGTCGCCAAGCATCGAGGAACGAACTAGTGATCTGGCTTCGCAAGCGAGAGCAATCATGAAATCTCTTGCTTCGCTCACTGTTAACTCTCAATGACTCGTGACGGTAACGTTATCACTTAAAATCGAGTAAGCGAAGCAGCGAAAACGCACGGGAAAGGCGGGAAGAGCGCTGGAAACTTTTTCGTTTATCCCACATTCCCCAGCAGATCGTGTGTTCAGAGTTGACCGAACTGCTATATTAGCCCAGCAGAGGCGAGCACTTACGAGCTTGGTTGGAATACAGTGTGCTGTGGACCAGCTGGCCGAAGGCCGGAAATAGCAAGGATGTGATTTTAAGCTTCGCAATCGTCCAGAAGGAATTCCTGAAAGGTATTCTTGCAACTGGCAATAACCAATGGAGTGTAGTTTACTCGTCTTGTCCCCTTGTAGGCGCAGCGCCCGCTTTACTTCGACATTCAAGACGCAGACGCAGCGGATTACGTCAGCGTCGCCAACGCCGAAAAGCGTGCACTCTTCTTCAGCTGGCCCAAGGGCGTCATGAGGCCGTACCTGCAAGGGTACACCGGTGACGTCATCTTCTGGGTTGGGGAGCAGGCCACCGCGGACGGAGTGCGATCCACTGAATGGGTGATGGACCATAGGATGGAGATCCCACAGTGGCCCGGATCTAATGATTTCTTTGCTGCTTACCGGAGGATGACGCCTGCAGAGAAAAGCGCTGGCGACCTGCCGGCCTGTAAATCTTGAGGCGCTGCAATCAAGCTAGGTTATTTTAACCAAAGGGTACACCGGCTTGGTTGCGGCCGTGTTCAGCTAAAACGGTCGAGGGACTTGGGTGTAGCTGGATTTAATAGTGCAGGGGCAAATCAAGAACACAAAGACCCGTAATATTTCAAGAACCAGTCTTAGTCCACTATTCATGAGCTGGATGTGTGTGGTGCGCGCGAACCGTTTAGGCGAGGTTTATTTTTCTTAGTGCCAGTGATCGGCCGGCCTCGCAAACATATCTTAAGCTTTGGAATCAGCAGCCGATGCAACCGTGAACGAGTCCATAAGTTTGCTATGTCATTGCTGACGCCTCGGAAGCTAGATTCGAATCGATCATGGCAGCATCAAGGATCGAGCTGCTCATATGCAGCAGTACGTGGTTGCATCATGACATAGGAGTACATGCGTGAGTTGCGGTTCGGTTCCTAGCTGCATGACTCGTCACTCAGCGCGGCCATCAATCATGAGCGAATGCAAATGCAGCTTGCACGTTTTCAATGGAATTGCAACGTACGTCTCCGGCCGTCTGCTTATCGTCATCTGAAACGTAGATTAGCTGGTATATGGCCGACGAATACCCTTAGACCGATCATTCCTGTACTGTAAGGGCCGCGGGAGCTTCAATGGGATTCATAATGGGATTCATGAGAAGGACGTGCACATTTGTGGCGTCGATTTTTGATCTGAAGAGTCGGTTGCTAGCTCACAACTAATTGCCAATTGCAATTATTGGTACTGAGAAAGCCAATGTGGCATCGTCGAAGGTGCAACGAAAATGGACGCTACAGAGCTTGGCCTTCGTCAGGGTGCAGTGAGTAGTAAACTCCTGGTTCTTTCTATCATAACCGTCCCAGAAATGTCAGTCTGCTCTCCACTGCAGTACTCCCAAAAACCTCTCGAAGGTTGACGTACTCGGGGTGCACATCTCTCTCATCTACCGGCTGTGTTAAAAGCACATGGTCCTCTCTTAAACTCCAAACAGGGCCCTTCGCAGCGCTCCGACTCCGTGGATCAAGCAACGGTCGTGCAGCCTCGAAGTCGCCGGACGCCTCTATCACCTTTGCAATGATGTCATCCTGGCTGCAACCGTACTGCTTCACGAAGTCCGCCACCCACGACCGGATCACGGCCACCCTCTCTGGCGGCACATCGGACGGTCGGGCGGGCGGTGGCTCGGCCCCGCGCCTCTTGGCTTCCCCGACCAGCTCCCCGTTTGCTTTTCGTAAACGCCGCCGCTTTGTCTCTTCTAACTGCTTTGTCAGGCCCTGGGAGGCTCTATCCTCTCCGCGCCCTCCCTCCCCTCTGATCTCTGCGACTCGACCTGTTTCAGCGTTCTCTCCGCCTACGGTCCCGCTTTTTTCTGCAGGTCCGACCTCCCCGTCAGGCTCTCGTTGATGCTGTCCGGCTTCGCCCATCTCTATACTTCCCCCCAGATCGGCTCCTCGTCCTCTATGTCTGTCGTCGGAAGGCCCCTTTGCGGTGACAGCTGGCAGGCGGCTATTGGCTTCAGGGGCTGCATTCGATGGTCCGACTCCTGCTTGAGCGCCGTCCCCTCCATCTGCGTGACGCTCCTGTTCTTTAACAGGTGGCAAGACATCAAACCACAGTTCCTCACGAGGCGAGCCTGGCAGGACTCCTTTCGCAGAGGGTTTCTGAGCCTCTATCCGCTGCTTCTTGGCACCGCCTACCACTCCCGGTGCTGCTGCCGCCCCGGCCCCTACATCATCCCTCGCACGCTTTCTTTCTCTCGCTCTCGCCTCCTCCAAACCGCCGCTGCCTTCCCTACGCTCCACAGCCGCGACCCTCTGTTGATCACCTTCATTCATCTCAAATTCTGCTGGCTTCCCCAATGCTTCCTCCTCTCGCTGAGAACCGTCCCACGTTTCCGGGGGTGTCTCTGGCACGGTGAACTCCAAGTCCGGGGCCTGGGTGAAGGGAGCCTCGCGCGGAACCGTAGGAGCTTGCCCAGCCCCCACCTCGTCCCTGTGCGCCCGCTCCCGCACAGCCGCTGCCGCGCCAAGGATCTGGACAGGAACCGGCTTCAAAAGTGCAGCTTTTGGGGGGGCCCTCAGCACGGCCGCACCGTGCGAAGATGTGAGCAATTGGGCGGGCTGACTTGTTTTGGGCGGGAGTGGTCGGGCGGTTGGGACAGGACTCGGTTCGGGGGCCTTCTGTGGATGCTCGGCTGGCTGGTTAGCACCCGGAGGAGGGACTTTCTGAAGCGGTTTGGGGGGTATTTGGGCAGGGGCTCGCTCACTTTTCCCCAGGGGCTGCTTTTGCAGCTTATCTGCCTGGCTGGTATACAAAAGTGGAGCCTTCTGGCCCGGTTTCGGGTGCGAGGTCGCCTGGAGAGGGGTTTGGTTTTGTTGCGCAAGCTCAGGAACCGCTTTAGCCGAAGGCTGCTTCCCTTGCGGTTTTCGAGGGGCGGTTTCGTTGACTGAGGGGCCATGAACAGGCACAGCCTCTTGTCCTGCTTCCCGCTGTTTTTGACCGGCATCCGTAAGCCCGTTCTTTGGTCCCCCCCGAGACGGCTCCGGCACTCTTGCCCCAGGTGTGGCTGCTGAATTAACTGCCTGCACTTCCTGCTCACGTTCCCGCTGCTTGGGACCCTCAGACCCCGCTTTCTGACTCTGCTTAGCACTCCCAGCCGTTTGCTTCTCGACAGCCGGGCCAGGCGTAACCGCATGCTCGTTTGCGCTAGGGGTGATTGGGAGGTGAGGCTGGCTTGATCCAGCTCTCAGCGCAAGGTCTGTTGGGGGGTGTCCGGCAGGTGGGGCGTTGGCCTTGGGCTTCTGAGCAGGGGCGAGATACTTGTTGTAGCGCTCTTTCATGGCCTGCCAACTGTGCGGGGTGACCTGCAATGCAAAGAGGCAGGCGATAGTTCTCGCTTCTTTAGCTGGGACTACAGAGACAGGCGTCAGTTCGAGGCAGAAAGAAGTGAAGTTAGTGTATGTACAGATTGTTGCTATTGTTTCACTTAGAGGAAAGAACATTCTAGGAGGAAAATAGTAAGAGCCGTTTTACGGTCCAAGCAGATAGACGATATAAGGAGATGGTCTTCGCCAAAATCGCCTGGCTTTGTGACAATCGAGTCACATAGAGAGACGATGCTACTTAAGGGCGCGCTTTCTTGAATTGGATTGCAGCTGATCAAGCAGGAGGGAGATCTGGATTCTTTCTCACCTTCTGACGCTCTGCTTCCTGCCAGAAGATGTCACCCCTTCGTGCCAAGATACTGCGACACCAAAAAACCCAGCGGCAATCAAAGCGCTGACGTGTCTGCAACACTTTATGCTTGATTTTGCAAGTTCGTCAGTGAGCAAAAACATGATTTAGGGTTTTGGTGTTTGAGGGTGCGCACAATTTTGAGGCCGACCAAGTGCTTCAGAAGAGCTCTGGGGATTGTGATTATAAGAAAACTCGTGCGCTTTTCAACTTTTCCTCCTGAAGGAAACAATCCTTCTTCTGCTTGAACCATTTAGGGTTTTAGGGCTCTGAGGGTTTCGTGCAAGCAAATGCGCCCCGGTCTACTTGAGGCATTCTCAACTTAATCAACAAAGGCCGTACCTTTTAGATGCATACTCTAAAATGGCTTTATCTTCCTCTCGAGTCCAGTGGTGGTAAGTCCGCTTAGGACCGGCCGATGGGGGAGGGGGATGCACCTCATAATCCTCCGATTTCTGCAAAGAGCAAAGTTGATTAAAAAGGGAGAGGGGAGCCAACAGTGATGAAGACAGAGTGAAATAACAACGGCCACAGGAAGAAGAGATGACAAAGCTGGAGATTGACTGAAAGGGCAGCGATTAACAAGATTCAATTGAAGAGTATCAACCTCAGAATTCCAGTTCCTCTGATCAACTAAAACACTCCTTTGAACGACTTGTACTATCAAGAGAAGTCTCCATGTCCATGGAGTGGATAACCTTTCTGGCTTACCAGTAGTATCCCTTTCTTGACGCTGTCCAGGACATATGTACAAAAGTACAGCTGAAAGCAGATTCACAGAGAAGACTGTCAGCAGAACGTCAGCAATCTCTCGAATCCTCTCCCCACATAACGACGATACTGACCTTTATCAATGACAAATGGTCTATTAACTGGGGGAAGACAACATTGATGTAAGCAAAACGTTTCTGACAAGGCAGGCTTTATTGAACACCTGGCATTGCCAAAGCCGATACAAACCTGCACTTGCAAAAGCCATGATGCAACCAAAACGCGAAAGGATGCCCAACCTTTTCGCCTCGTGCTTTCGCAGCTTGCAATGCTTTCTCATTCCCAGCATCGCCGACATGAACCAACTGAATCACCACGTCGTCCTGAGGCAATCTTAGGCTTGGGGTTCTGAACCTCCCACCGTAATTCTCCACCAATTCCTTGACTTGCTTCCGGACCACCCCATCTTTGTCCCGCACTATGATCAACAACATAGGAAAAGTCAGTCCAGCATCCTTGATGTACGAGTTTCAATCAGCATTAGAGGAGACATTGCAGTCAAAAGTCCAGCCCAGCTTCAAACAAGCAGCTTGCAATGTAGCCAGACAATTCATAGCAAATGAATGAGATCCCATGTTTATGCTTGCAAGCTGGCAGTGACCCTCACCAGATGGGGGCAGGAAAAAGCACATTCGCTTCCCATCTGAACGGACAAAGAGCTGAGCACTTGCTTCCATGGTCAACCACGCCTCTAGCAAGAATCCTTTTGGGTAGTGACAGCAGCAGCCCCTGCATTGAAGGGGCCTTCAGGCTGTTCAATCCGAGATCATACCGTTGCACCTTGCTATAGAGAACCACAGTTCAACATTTCTTCAATGAGCTTGTAAGAAATCTTATTTGATTTCAGACCGACACTTCAGTTCTATTTAGAGGCAGCATTCTCTGGACGCCGTGATGCCGCTGATGCGGCCATCTTCATCCCCTCAGGCTGGACGCTGTTCTCTGAATTTTCCTGCTCATGCATTCAAATTCAATTGCAACTTCAAGCCAGATCCTTTTCTTCCAAAGTGTTCTCCCGCCACTTTTCACCGAACCTTGCTAACCCTAACTTGAACCCTACGACCGCCGGGTCTGCTTGCAACCTTGGAGCGTAACCTTTTCTCGATCCCCCAGAGCACGAAACCCCGGGACCAAATTGCCACAACTGGCTCCTTTCGCTCACTGGCCCAGTACTTTCTACCGGGCCCACGGTTGGCAACAACGTTGAGTAATACGGGTAAAACCGAGACAGGCCTCCTGGTTAGTTAGAGCTAAACTTAATCCTAGCAACACTGACCGTAGGTTGTCCTGCTGAACTTGCCATAATTCAGCACTCCTTCTTGTCACTGTTTACAGGATGGTTGCAGCTTGTGTAGGGGACTTCGTGCGCCCCAAGCCCGGCTCCCCCCCCACCTGCCACCTCTACGTGGCCAACTTGGGCCCTGCGGTCGGGGTGTCCGTTTTGAAGGCCCGCACAATCTTTGCGGCATTCGGCACCATCACAGACCTCCAAGAAGCAGGGGAGTCCGGGAACCGGCTGTACGTTAGCTTTGCGGATAGCGCCTCTGCACAGGAAGCACGGGCGGCGCTTCACGAGAGGCCTTGTCTGGCTGCAGGAGGCCGGGTCCTCAGTATCCAGTATGCAGAGCTGAAAACGGCGGGGCTGCAAACAGGGCCTCCGCTGCCAGAGGTGTGTGTCTCTGGAGAGCAGGTTGGGATACCGGGGCTTGTTTGCATTCCTGATTTTGTTTCTGAGGAGGAAGAGAGAGAGCTGGTGGCGGCGGTGGATGATGGGAATTGGCACCGCTTGGCCAAGCGGCGGGTGCAGCATTACGGGTATGAGTTCAAGTATCAGTCTCGGAATGTGGACCCGACGGCAGAGCTGGGTGCGTTCCCACCACCCCTCCAATCAGTATCACAGAGGGTCGAGCGGCTGCTTACAGGGGAGTGTGAACAAGTTTGTTCGGAAGATGACGCTACAGGCGGAAAACAAACAGAGGCGGAGCAATCCTGGCCGCTAGACCAGCTTACGGTGAATGAGTACCCCGCAGGCGTAGGGCTGTCCCCTCACGTCGATACCCACTCCGCTTTCCATGGGGCAATCGTTTCGCTCTCTCTGGCTGGGCCCACCGTCATGGAGTTCCGCAGGCAGTGTCAAGAAGCTCAGGCCCCCGACGGGTCGTCTAGTACTGACACCACCGATGGGCTTCTCGAGCGGCGGTGCCTGTTTCTAGCCCCTCGCTCCCTACTCGTTCTGACAGGCGAAGCGCGGTATGCTTGGCAGCATTACATCCCGCACCGGAAAAGCGACCTTGTACGAGGGGAAATAGTACTCAGGGGGAGGCGAAGGGTTTCGCTAACTTTCCGGAAGGTGCGAACGGGCCCCTGCCGGTGTGAATACCCCGAGAGCTGCGACTCCCAGCAGGGCGTGCGAGAGGGGGGGCCGAAGAGGGCAGAGAAGGGGGGGTGGATGAGGATGGAAGGGGCTCGAGAGAGCGGGGTGCAAGAAACTGGAGAGGCTGGCATGGATCTGGCAACAGCAACGGACAAAACTTTAGAGGCGCTGGAAGCCCTGGACGTTAGGACAAATCTCAGCCCCCAGGCCGTAGAGATACGGGATGGATCGACAAATACATCAAGGTCGGAATGCTTACCAAGATTGACACCGGAAGAAGGGTCGGTCCACCCGCTACTTAGCGAGGAGAGCTCTGGTGCGGGTGGTGCCTCGCCTTTTGTGGTCCCCGAGATCGAGAAGCGGCACGTGCACCAAGTGTATGACGCCATCGCAATGCACTTCAGCGCCACGCGCTTTGCAAAGTGGCCAAAGGTTGCACAGTTCCTGGAGGGCCTGCCAGAGGGATCCCTCGTGGTGGATGCGGGCTGCGGCAACGGTGAGTCCGTTTTCCTCTGAGGAGAAAACGCAATGTCTGCCAATGGGCCTAGTCCCAACAAGCCGTTCAAATTGGTCATTTTTTGGTTGGCTTGAATTTGGAAACGGCAAGCTTTTTGTGTACAGAAACTTGTCCTCCAAGTAGAAGGCGCCGTAGGACGAGTCTCTTCTGATCAGCGCTTCCCATTTGCTGGTTGCCATATATAAGCGCAGTCGATCCCCAAACAAAGCATGAGTGATAATGATAAGAGCTTGCGCTGTTTCGACGAGTTTTCGCGGCAGGCGCTATGCTTTCTTGTGATGTCGTCAAAGACTCGTGCCAGGCAAAGAGCACTCTGTAACTTGCGAAGTCCATATCAAAGTATGGAATTCTGACATAGTCTGCCTTTTCATTATCGAGTCTTGTCTCTGCCTCCCTTTTCCTCTTTGCTCCGTGGATTGAGCAGACTGTTTCGAAAGGTTTTGGTCGATACACACTCAAGTTACGACACTTTCTTGGGCCTCTCCTGATGCAGGGAAGTACCTCGGCTTCAACCCCTCCTGCTTCTTCCTCGGCTGTGACATCAGCGCGCCTCTGGTCGGGATGGCCAGCAAGCGGTGCGCATCTCTTCCTCCTTGTCACTGCAGACCGGGTGCTTTGATCAAAGCGTATGGAAGTGTGCTTGCGAAAGCTCCCAGCCTTCATCTTTGCGAGACGGGCCTCTGCCTTGTATCACGTATCGCTTCTGCTCTCATGCTGCGCCAACACTGATTGAGTTCCAGAATCTTTGGTCATCAAGGTCCTGAACCTTCTTTTCTTTGCCAAAAAATTGCATATTTCCACCAGCAAGATTGTTGACACTGCCTTCCCCGCCCACTCACAAGTTCAAAGACCGTTCCGTTCTTTCTCCGCAGGGGCTTCGACGTGGCAGTCGCCGACGCGCTCCGGCTGCCGTACCGCACCGCCTCGTGCGACGCAGCCATCTCGATCGCGGTTCTGCACCACCTGAGTTCCGATGCGCGCCGCCGGCAGGCCATCCGGGAGCTTCTGCGCATCGTCAAAAGCGGGGACCGGATTCTAATCACGGTCTGGGCGCGGGAGCAGGAAGACCCGAAACTGCTCGGGAAGTGGACGCCGCTGATCGGGACCGAGGCCTGGCCGGAGGACCTGGTGGCGCCCGGGGGAAAGCAACCGGGCGACAGGGGGAGTGCCCAGGAGCAAGCCTCGGGGGTGGAGGGTTTGGCAGGGGAGAGGACGAGTGAAGAAGGGCGGGGCAGTGGGCGAAAAAAGATGGGACTTGCAGACAGAGGTGGAAATGAAGTTGGGACCACGGGAGAAGGAACGGAGAATGGACACGGGCCGTCGGATGCTTCGGAAAGTCCGCTCCGAGAGCGGCGGCCGAGCGGGACGCTCGAGAGCATACCGGAAAGCGGGGCCGGGGCTCCTAAGCCTGACAGGGCGGCAAACGAGGTCAAAGTAAGTATGCGGGAAGGAGAAGTGCTTCTCGATCCAGCGGAGAATCCCGACAGCCCACCTTCCGGAAGCTCCGCCCAAGCAGATACGAGTATAGAGTTGAGCGAAGCCTCGGAGGGATCCCCTCTTCCGGGGGACGGGTCGGGGAGCGTCCAGGAGTACTTTGTGCCGTGGCATCTGCCGTATCACCGGGTGGAAATCGGGGTTGCCGACCGGGACGGGGAGCGGGGACTGGCACGGCGGGACCCCCTGAAGCAAGCGCTCGTGTACGAGCGGTACTACCACGTGTTCGTGGAGGGGGAACTGGAAAGGTAACCTGATCACTGGATCGCTGTTTTGCATCTTGACTTGTCTTTTAGCATTGTGCTTGCTTCATCTACACTTGGTCTCCGGCCTTCGGTCTTGGGTCGTGCGTGCTCTACACGGTTTCTTGCTCGCTTTGTTAATTCTGGTACTGAACATGTTTGCACGGCCTTAAGTCCGTCGACTTGTTCCTTGTATATCTACTAACAAGGTGACTTGTTCCTTGGCAGGCTAGTCAACGAGGTCGGAGGTTGCACCATTGTGGATCACTTCTTTGACAAGTCGAACTGGTGTGTCATAGCCGCGAAGCACTGATGGTGCTGCCACTTGAAACACTGAGCGGCTCATGCTCCCACTGTAGTCACACTAAGTGGCAGCTGATTGCTTTGTCCGACGGTCGATCGAGTTGTACGCTCGATCAGCCTACAACTCTCGTTGCCAAGATGCGATCAAGGGACTACACACTGCTTAGCTCAAGGATCTTGACGGTCTTCGTTGCCACGCTGCATGCTTCCTTAGTCTCACCGGATCATGAAGACTGCAAGGAAACGCAGCGCGGAAAGTGCAGCCGCCGGGCTCCGAGTGTAGTGACTCCTGCTGCTTTACTTGTGCACGATTGTAAATGCAGCTACAAATCGTAAATGCATGCGCACACGGATCAGTCACACAAATGCTCTTAACCTCACGTCACTCATGGCTAAATTAAGCTGGCAATTAGTCGGACCCAGCTCTGCACAAAGAGCGCGGCATGTAGAGTTATCATCGATCGATCGATCATCAATTCGCTAAGCTTTTGTGATCACCATGCCATGAGAAGCCTATGGGCGCACTGACAACGGCGCATGTGAAAAGAAACCATCGCCGTCCAGCGCGGATTGCGCGTGCGCGGAGCTAGCTGCATGACTCTCCGATCGGCCTCAACGACACCTGAATTAACAGCTGTGCATATGGATACAGTACTACCTAGTACAGACAATGCATGCCACAGGTGCGGGATCGATCCGGTCCAATCAAAAGTCAAAAGCTACAAGGATCGTTTTACCGTGACTCACGCTCGTGTAATTATCCTGAAATCTACCGTCATAGTTGAGGCAGAAGACCGTGAGTCGTTAGAAGTACCAGCCATGCACTGCAACTCAATGTCTCGCAGGTTGAGAAACCGTCGTCTTTGACCTTCAATGATTGCCGACAAAGTGAGAAAGTCGCGTGCTTATTCTCGCAACTGATCAATGTTTCATTGTTACTCAGTTCGCTCGCTAGGAACTTTAAACAGCGTTTGCTGCTTTTGCTCTATCCCTTGACCGCCGGCTGCTGCCACTCATCGAAGAAACTCGGCCCTGTGTAAGGACGCTCGTCCTCCTCCCTGACCGATTCCTTAAGCAGAGGAGACTCTGCTAAGCTTTCATATTTATCCGCTGGAACTCCCCTCTCCATTACTCCAATCGCACTGGTACTGGCATCAACAAGTGCCGGATCCCCTGTCTTTCTAGTAGCATCTGATTGAGGAGCATCGGCCGCCAACGTCTTCTCAGTTGAGCTGCTCATGCCCTCACTAGACGCATGCCACGTGTCCTCTTGAGGCAGCACGTCTTCCTCGCCACCTGCAATGGCGGCAACCAATGATTGCTCGTCCAATGGGTGCGAGTCAGCTCCCCCTCCGTAACCCCTTCCACTCTGCGAAGCGTCCACGAACGGCTCCTCAACGAAATCTTCGTCCCAGCCATCTGAATCCGAGCCCGTCTTTACAAGGACGGGTGTTGCCAGGTTTTCTACAACGGCTTGCGTTCCCCTTTTGTCCTCCCGGTCGTTCGCTTGCAAATGCAGCACCAGCGCTTCCCGCGATCTCCCATTCTCACCGATCAGCTCGATTCTCCTTTCTCTCTCTCTCGCGCTGCCCCTATCACTTCCTTCGCCTTCGCTTCCAAGCTCCGTAGTGACCCCTATTCTGACGTCATCAGCGGGGCGGTCGCTCGCGTCATCACTGCGCATGACCCGTGAACCCGCCTCGAACGGCTCGTCTTCTTCCGAGTCGGCACTTCCCCCGCGAAGCCACACGGCTGACGCGTCGTCCATGACGTCAGCACCCGACCAACCAGGGACCGCCAGCTCAGCATCCCATCCATCTTCTCCCTCGGAATCAGAACCCTCCTTAGCAGCACTGAACTCTGGTTCAATCTCGTCGCCTGGAGGGGCGATCCACGAGCCTGCTGTTTCTTCTACGGGTCGCCCATTCTGCTCAGTGATCCCACTGCTCCCAAAACCATCTCCGCTGCTTTCTTCATCCAATCCTTTAAAACCAGCCCACCCCGATTGCCCGCTCTCTTCCCCTTCTCCCGCGCGCCCCATTCGCGCCCCCTCTTCTTCGAAATCTTCCAACTCCTCATCCGACTCACTCTCGTCACTGAGCCACTCCATACTGACACGGCCCCTTGGACCTTCCCCTCCGCTCAAACCCCCCCTCTCTGGGGCCCCTTCGTCATCGCTGACGTCACTATCCCTCTCCGCACTGACCCAGCCCATCTCCCTCTCGTCTCCAATCCCCCCCCTCAACTTCGATACTGTACCTCGGTCCCCTTCTTCAGCATCGCTTCCCGATGACGCCCACATCCCGCCACGTGGCACCTCCTCATCCGCCTCCGAGTCGCTGTCCGCCGTCGCCCACTCCGGCCGCAGCCCCCGGGCGTCATCACTGACGTCATCTTCTTCACCGTCGCTCCGCTCCTCGTCAGAGTCCCATCGGCTCTCCACAGCAGTGCCCGTTCCTCTCCTCCTTCCGTCTTCCTCACCGTCGCTGATCTCTCCTTCCTCCCGCTCTAGTTCCCCCTCTTGCCCAGATGCCTCAAGTTCCTCATTGCCCCCCTCACTCTCTAGTTCTTCCTCCTCTTCATCTTCGTCGTTCTCCCCTCCTTCGTTCTCCTCTTCTCCACCCTCCTCCTCTCTTTCTTCCCCAATCTCTTCTTCCGCCGTGCTCTGGTACTCAAGCGGACCCCACCCAAGCGCGCCCCGTGCTCCAGTATCCTCTCCGGCGTCAAACTCTTCTTCAAAGTCCGACTCCGCATCGTCCGTGCTTGCCCCCCGGTCCGCGCGCACCGTCCGCCACGAGTCCACGTCACTGCCGTCGTCATACTCCGTCTCTTCCTCCCCGTCCGAATCGTACGCCTGCGCTTTCGGTCCGCCTCGGCTCTCCTCTTCACCTTCTACCTCCTCTAGTTCTTCGTCGTCGTACTCGGAACCATTTCCGCCCACGTGGGCCTCCGGACCCCCCAGCTCGTACGCCCTACCAAACGCCCCATCTTCGTCCGAATCGTCCTCGCTCTCGTAGAGCACCGCGTGGCGCCCCCGCAGGCTGCCGCGTGGCGCCCCCTCCCTTTCCAGCCCCAGCACCCCCGCCGCCTGCCGCGCCTTCTTCCACTTCTTAACCAGCTTCTTGAAGTCCTTCCTCCAGCTCCGCGCCCCGATCGTCGGGTGGGTTAGCCGCCAGCAGCTAACCCCGGAATCCTCCTTAACCTGTTTCAGGATCTCGAACTCCATCTCGTTAGGGTTTAACCCCAGCAGCTGCGGGTCTTTCATCATGGGCGGGGGGCTCGCTTTCCACAGATGCACGGGGGGGGGGACCCACTGCCCCGGGGGGGGCTTGTTTATGACTGCGAACCAAATGAGCTCTTTGATTGCGCCGAGAACAGCCCACCCCCGGAAACGGTTGTTGGCCTGGGGTCCCAGCCCGTGCAATTCGAGGCACGTGCCGAGGTCGAGCGAGCAGAGGCGCGCAAACTGGTGCTCGATGTCGGTGGAAACGATCGGCTTTGGGTGCTCCTGCTGGGCGATCCACCAGATGACCTGCGGGTTTGCGAAATGGGTTTAGCGCGGATTTGGCCACTCCAGCAAGGGGGTTGCAGGCGTTCGGGTCTGCTTCCCTAGAGAGTCAGACTTGAACCAGGTCGGACACAGGCTCCGGTTGGTGACTGTCACGAAGATCCTTGTGTAACGGGCTTTTGTCGCCAAATCTAGCCAGCTGTAAGCCTGAAGCCAACGGAGTGCCCTCCACGACACAGCTTTTCAATGCTCCTCTCAAAGCCTTAGCCATAGGGAGCTTCTCATCTCAAGCGCATTATCAGGGCAGAACTCAACGAATTACAGAGCGATCCACGGGAACGGCGGAAAGGGAACCAGCACCTAGAGTGGTGCGTCTGTACCTGGCGCAGGCCGGACTTGGCGGCGCTGAGCCTGAGGCGGGTGTGGTCGTCCATGTGGATCGTCAGAAGGCCGGTCCGCTCATAGTGCGTGAGCTGGATCAGCCGCTTCGCTCGCAGCAGCTCGTCCAAACCCAGCCGCAGCTCTTTGCCCGTACGGGCCCTGCGCAGATAAGGGGCGTTCCTAAGGGTCAGCTTTACCGGGCAGTTGGCTCGGCAATATGATTGCGTCCGAGGGCCGCAAGATTCCAGCGACCTAGCATTCCATTCCGGGAGGGGAATATGCCGAGCATGTTACAGGTGTATGTTGCGAAGTCGAACGGCGATGAACGACAAGTCTAGAGAGGTGGCTGGGGCAATGAGGAACTTCGAATGGTGTTCCATCACATAATGCAACCAAAGAACCAACTTCAGCTACTCTCGTATGTTACTACCAGACCCGGCAAGATGAAGCAAACAAATATTTAGAACCACAAAGTGTTTGTCGCTAACACAGCACGCGGCTGAATGCACCCCGGCCCCCAGGCTTAGCCACGAAACCCACCTGTATATTTTCCTCAGCTTGGGGTAGCTGACCCCCCGCGGGTGCGCCCCACCCTGCAACGAGCCCAGGATCAGAATCATCTCATGCCGCGCCTGCGCCGCCTCCTGAAGCGCCACCACTTTTTCCCACGACACCCCCCCAGCCGCAAGCGAGTCCGCGTCCTCTCCGAAAACGCCAAACTCCTCACCAGAAACGCCAAAGCCGTCGCCCGAAATTCCGTAATCCTCGCCAGAAGCCCCAAACCCCTCATCAAAACCTCCAGAATCTTCGCCAGAAACCCCAAACCCCGCCCCCGTCACCCCAAACCCCTCGTTCAAAACGGCGTGCTCGCCCCGTTCTTCTATGGGGCCGCCGTTGTAGTCGTCACTTTCGACGTCTGACTCCAAATCATCATCAACGGTTTGGAAAGAGAGGGCCTCGGAGCCCGAGTCCGACTCGTCGCTAACGGCTTGAAACGCCAGCCGTCCGTTGTCTGCGCCATCATCCGGTATGACGTCATGAGAGTCGTTGGCAGCGTGCGCGCTGTCCACAAATGCCGCCCCGGTTACATCCTCGACTTCTTCATCCCCCTTCTGCCCTTCTGATTCATCATCCTCACTTTCTAGGGGCGGTGCGAACTCCCTTATCTCAGTCAGACTTCCTCCCCCCCACTCCTCTTCACCTTCTTCCATCTCATCTATCCGCCCATTCTCGTCCAAGCTTTCCGCCTCCGACTCCGCCACTCTCTCAGCTTGGATCACGGCCCCGTCCGTCTCGTGGGTTCCGTTCTCCGCAGCGCCCACTTCCATTTTCGCATCGAACGTGGCCACGCTGTCCGTCACGGGGCCCACTTTCGACGCGTTCTCGGCCTCGCTGAACCAGCGCACGACCAGGTCCAGCCACTCGGGGGCCCATTCACACTGCTCCAGCCAGCTGTACAGCGGCCCTTCCCCCTCGCCTCGTAGCCCTTTCTGCTCCAATTCTTGAAACAAAGGCAAATTCAACTCCGCAGGGGGGACGCCCAGCAGACGGGCGTCCCGGAGCAAAGGGGGGGGGTCGTCGATGCAGATCGTGCACGAGTTCTGGTGTCTGCGAGATGAGCCAATTGCGTGGTGTTCTGAGAACTGTGGTCGAGCAGAAGGTCAGGCGAACTATTATGCTAGAGCGGGGCAAAAGTACCTTCCTTCAAAATATACTGACCCACAGTTTCCCGACCGGGGGGCCGTCGAAGGCCAAATCGCTCTGTCCCGGACCGAAATGTGCCAGCACATACTGACGGACGCACATTTACGTGGCGAGAGGCTAGTAGGAGCAGCCTTCCGCAACGGTTTGTGGGACTTCTGGTCTTGACGGCATCAAACTCAAGAAAATAATAGTAAGCCGAGATAATAATAAGGTAATCGCACCGGGACGGGTAGAATTAGTTTGGTGGTTAGGGTGGGTACGGATGCGGAGCGGGTGTCTTTTTGGGTTAGTGCTTTTAGTGTTAGTCGGAGCTTACTATTATCTTGGCTTACTATTATCTTTCTTGGTTTACCTTGACTGCGACTTCAATGGGTAGAGTTTACTTGTCGACGGGTGCCTTTCTAATCGAGCAGTTCGGACTGCGCATGCCCACTGACCTCACGATGAAGTCACAGTTGTCCAGTACCAGGCCCTTCATAGCGTGGCCCCCGTCAGTGTAGGCGTGCTGCTTCAGAATGGACTCCACAGAGTGCCCTGGCAGTCGCGCAAGCGTCTCGCCGGCCAGCTCGTCGAACGGGAGCCGACGGGGGTATGCGTCCGCGAGGATCGTCCAAAACACCTGCAATAAGCACCGGACGCACAGTGGGACCTCGCTCCTAGTCGAGGAAAAGCAAGCGACCAATGCCACAAGCAGTTCTCGCACCTTAGACATTACGTGTGATGGTGTTTGCAGAAGCGAACGGGAGTCCGTCTCAATCCATTTCGCATAATCTGTTGAGAGACCAAGCAGCTCCGCACTTCGCTGGTTCGCTACTCAGTTGCAATGTTGATAAGCGCGTCTTGTTTGGCACATCTTTGACATCGGCAACTGACGGACATTTTCAGTCGTCAGCGGCTGAGCATCGTCTTACAAAAGAAGGCCCTCCTCAAAAGCCGGCACAAACTCTTATTGAGTCAAGTCCCGCTGTATACTCAACCACCAAACTTCACCATATTTGAGAACAAGGACGAGTTTCCGGGGCGCCCCAAGAGACAAATTGTACTGCTGTGCTCTCGTTGTCCAAAGGAAAGCTTTGAGAGAGAAAAGAAAGAGCCAGTCCGAACCGTTGGCAGAAGCGCCCACCTGCCTCAGTCCGGACGCCAGCCCGTGCTGCTTCCCAAGCGTCCGCTTTCGCTTCTTAATCAGAAGCGCGTCCTCACTGACGCCGTGGATGTCCGGAATCGCCGCCAGCCGCTTGCGCAGCGTCGTGCGGACGCCGTCGCGCGTCCGGTACTGGTCCGAGTCCATCGGGCGTCCGAAGACTGCTTCGTACCGCGCCAGCAGGCCCTGAAACACACAGTTTCCTGCTTCACCTTGGAGGTCGAATCAAACCGCGGAAGCGATTGTAAACGACTGTTGCGGTTATGTGTGAGCAATATATTGCGCTCGGGGTCTGCAAGTGCCAGCGGACGTTATGGTGAGGTCAACGAGCCATGCGACAGATTAAAGGGTGATGACGTAGGACTTAGACACCAAACGCAAGGCGTTACAGGGGGGGGCAAGCAGGCTCCGACCTACAAGGGCCAGTGTAGCAATTCTCTCAACACACAAGTCCCACCTACTGACGGGATTGCTTTCGACTCATTTTCTCGGATGTTTCTTCGGGGCCTTCCTTTGCTCTATCAGGCATGTGCGTCCAACTTTCGTGCAGAGTCCGTTGTCAAGACTGTTGTGCAGACGCACCTCCACAGAGAGTGCGTTCCCGTCCTTTGCCGCCTCCGCCACAAGCACCATGACGTCATGGTTGAACATGCGCCAGCGGCAGTGCATCAGGTCCCGCTCCCACGCGTCCTGCTCCGTTTCTCCTACCCCTTGCGGCCCGCCCTCGCTCTCTCCCTCCTCGTCAGTGGTTGACGCCTCCCGCAAAGACTTTTCTTCATCGGTCGTTTCTCCTGCTGACTCCTCAGACTCTGCTGACCCCTCAAAATCGACGCTTCGGATTGGCTCACCATTGACCATCTCCCCGTCTCCGGGCAGGGTGGAGTCAGCACCCGGCTGGAGGGAAGCCAAGTCCGGAGCTTGGACAACAGCAGCAATCATTACAGACTCCTCAGGGAACAAAAGCCCGTCCTCCACTCCCAAGTTTTTAGCATCTGCTTCGATCACCTCGGTAGCTTTTGCGGCCGTGGCTATCTCCGAGGTGCTCGCAACTGTAACGTCACTAGCTTGGCTGGCGTCAGCAGCCTGCGCGCTTTTGACGGACGACCGCAGGTCAATCACCTCGGGGGGCTTGAAGAGCTCCCAGTTACGGCGGGCGGCTTCGATCGGATCGTAAGCACCGGAACTGCCCTCAAGCGGTGAGGAAAGCGGAGGGGGGTGGGCTTCAAACGCCTCAGATGAGGGGCTTTCGGTGGCTGCTTCTTTTTCCTCAGCACGTAACTCAGCTGTGACATCAGCGGGGATTGGTCGTGCCGGAGCCGCTTCGGGGGCGCTGCTGAGCGAAGGCGTTTTTGTGGGTGACGAAGGCCTTTCCCCGGGGAGCGTCTCGAGCCCCGGGCTTGCCGAGGGTTCCCTTTCAGAGAGTATCAGTTGCGGGGCATCCATATCGCCCGCCTGCAGATTTTCAGAAGCCGCCTCCGCCGGCAAGGAGGCTGCTCTCTCTGCTCCCGGAAGAATTTGGTCAGCCACGGAAGATTCAGAAGCCTGCGTCAAAGTCTCCGGACTTTGCGCCGCACTCAATGCATCCTCGCTTGCCCTGCCCTCGACAACCCCTTCCCAACCACTTAGAAGCGTCTGAAATCTAGCCGCCTCTGCCGCCTGCGCCTTCGCTCCATCTCCGTCGTCAGTCCCTGCCACCTTTGCAGATTCTCCCGTCGCAACTCCTTGTCCGGCTTCTTCGCCTCCTTCAAATGCGCCCTCAAGTGGTTCAGCATCATTGCCCTGTTCGTTCCCCGTCTCCGCCTCGCTTTCGGAAACAACCTCTCCTACCTGAGCCTCGTCACCGTCACCACCCGCAAGCGGTCCCTCGTCAGCACTAACGTCAGCCGGGGGCCCTACGTCAGCACCCGCCAAGTCTACCGCCCCGCTCTCCGCAACACCGTCTAAACCCTTCACCTCTTCAGACGACTCATCTGAAACCTCCGAATCCTCGTCAGAAACAGCGGCCGCATCACTTTGTGCCATCGGTAAACTCGGGGGGATCACCCCGGGATCGCAATACTTGACAGAGGGGTCCGGCGCTCGGTAGGGGACGTCGTCCCCCTGGGGGGCCGGCTGACCGGGGTCCCGCTCCGCGCCGTCCTGGAGGAAGCACTTGACGTTCTTGAAGCGCTCGCACGTGCCGTAGTCCAGCCTGGAGAACGGTGGCGGGGAGGCGCGTCAGGACCAGAAGTGGACACAATGAGCAGGCGGATATTGAACCGCTTTCTCTCGTTTCTGGTAGTTTCTGCTCCTGCTTCTTATGTGGTGATTTAGCCCTTAATACGGACGAACAATCGTTCTTGACTGACCCCCTGTTATATTGTTGCAAGCATCAGTCACGATTCAGTCACAAATATCGAGTTTCAATTGAGAAGAACATCGGCAGCCTCTTGATCGCTGAGAGAACCTGTACGAACCCTCTGAGGCTAGGCAGACCTCCCAAACACCCCAACACCATCATATACAGAGAGAGTTCACATAGAATGCGAGACTCCGGGAACGTTGCAAACCAGTTAAGACTGAGGACGGTCAAGACTAGTTTCAGTCGGCCACACCTGACGACGTCCGCCATGTCCATGAACAGGATGTGTGTGGCAATCTCCTGGTCGGCGCGCGGCAGGCCCGGGCGCGGCAGGTAGCCGTGCGCGAGCAGGAGCGACTCCATGCTGGCGTTGGTGCAGACGGTCACCCAGTACACCAGGCTGCCCACCGTCTTGCCGCCCACGCCGCCCGTCGCGCAGTCCGAGAGTAACCTGAAATGGGGTTTGCGGGGTTTGAAAAGTGTGCGGGGTTGGGAATGCACGACAAGGGGTTTCACAGGGCAGGGACACGCAGACTAACATTGGTATTTGTCAGGAGAGTCCTTGCATCCGACAGCAGCCCTGCGAGAACGAGAAAGCGAGGGTTTCGTAAACGAGCGGGATTGGAGGGATGTACGACCAAGTCTGACACACGAGGACTTTGTTATGAGGTTTAGAGCAGGACTCTCGGTCTTCTTTCAAAAACGGAGCTGCAAGTTTCCGGTCGGCCCGATGCTTGGCGCTCTGAAGGGAGCAGCAGCACAAAAGAATATTTGACGGGACGGACAACTTCAAGATGTTCATTCACTTGTCAGAGGATGCCTCCCTGGCCGCTTCTACATTGATGTCGCTGACACGGGCCCTTGAAACCATTAAATCGGAGACCGAGCGGAATGAAACGGAATGAAAACCAGCTTTGCCAGGAAGGGGCCGTCTATGTGTCTACAGACCCTTTAAAGTACGAAGGAGCTTCGAGGAAGCAGCAGAAGACCACGGAAGCATGAAATGCCACTCACTCGTACAGCAGGTTGCGCAGGCCGCTGGTGATGAGCGCGAGCAGCTGCGCGTTGCGGGGCGTGTCGCGCAGGAAGGCCTGGCGCTCTTTGGCGGCCGCCTCGCGCTCCTCCGCCGTCGCCTTGGAGCCGTCCGGGAAGTCGATCGACACGCTCATGACGTCATCGAAGCTCGCGAGGTCCTGGAAAGATGCCGATGGGTGTGAAGTGCCATCGTCAATACACACCAACTCTCTGGGGAAGGCAGGCGTCAATTGCTGAACCGCTTTGGCAGTTTGTCAAAGACCAGGGAAAAATCGGGTTGTCAGCTTTCAAAGGCCGTTTGCAGAAGACAGAGAGACTTTCAATGTGCTTTAGAGGCTAAGTGGCAATAGAGTGGCAGGCAAAGCAGACAAAGTCTTTCCTTTACTCTCTACCAGAAGACGTGGGCTGACGGGACCGCTTCGACACTTCGGTAAACTTGCACTGAAGACCAGCATAAAATGTTTGCGCACCTGCAGTTTTTTCAACCCAAACTCCGCCAGCTTCAGCGGGTGCCCCACCACCTTGGCATACTTGCCCGGCAGCGACGCAAACGCGCACGGGCCCTCCTGGTAGAGCGTCAGCCGCAGCTGGTTCTTAAGCCGCACCAGCCTGACCTCAGCACCGCCCGCACTGACGTCATCCGACGGTCGCCCTTTGCTGCCCGGCTGCCCCGCCTCCTCACCCGCGCCCTTTTCGGATGCCGCCTCGGGCGTGATGTCATCGCCCGGCCCTCCGGAAGCTTCTGGCGTCGTTTCACCATATCCGCTGACGTCACCGGGTTTCGTCGATACGGCGGCCTGGATCATGCGCGCCATTTGCTCTTGCGAGAAGCCGATCTCGGCGGCTAGCGTCAGAGAGGCGTCCGTCACCTTCGAACGCTCCGTTGTGACGTCATCTGCCACGTCCGGTGGCATTGGCGGTCCTGGCTTGGCGCTGTCCGGAACGTTGGAAGAGCCACTGACGCCAGCCGACTTACTTGATGAAGTGTCTCCAGCCTGCGTATAGACCAAGGGTCTCGTTACTAATTGTGCCAAGTTTGATTTCCAAATCCTGATGATCTGGTTTTCCTCCCCCTTGGAAAGCCGAGTACACAAACTGGAAGTCTACTTGCATCTGTCATCCAGATTTTCTTGAAAAGAAATCTGCTGAATCATGCGGATCCAGCTTTCTCTTGCACAACTTTCTTTCCTGCTGAGGTCTCTGCTGAACAATCTTATCGACCTCTCCGAGCACAGAAAACTCCTTTAGCAACAAGTCGCAGCCTTCATTTCCATCTTAATCAAGAGCGCGAAAATTCGTTCCGCATCGCAAGTATAAGCAGCGGTTAAAAGACGCTTCACGGCGATGAGAAACGACCTTTCCACCCTTACCTCGGTCTCTCCTTTCTTTCTGCTCCGCTCCGCTGACACTTTCATCATCTTTTCCCGCGCCGCCGCCAGCAGCTCCGCAGACTTCTGCCGCGCTTCCGGGTCAACCTTAGCCCCTGCTCCTAACCCCTTTCCAGCCGCCCCCCCTGTTCCGGTAACGAGAGCCTTTTCCTGATCTCGAAGCGCACTCTGCAGAAGCTCAAGCGCCTTATCCGCAACTTCGCTTCCTTTCAGGGGGGTCCGTTCGCTCAGCATCTTCTCAGCTAGGGGAAGGTATGCGAACGGCGTCGTCGGAGGTTCGGCTTCCTCTGCTTTTGGAATTGCTTCCGGGGGGTCCTCTAGCGGGTTCCAAACGACGGTCTCCCGTGTCGGAGGGGTGGCTGCCTGCGGCTTCGGCGGCGGTTGCGGTTTCGGCGGGGGCGGGCTTTTCGTCTGCGGTTTCCGTTTCGACTCCTGTTGCAGTGATGTCTTCCAGTTCGGCCAGCCCAACCGCCCCACCCCCGACTCGCCAATCGGCGCTCCCCGGATCTCCGTGAGCGGTTCCATGGTGTCAAACTCGTCTGCCTCGTCGCTAGACTCGTCCTCCTCGACACTGTCGCTTTCGACCGCCGTGGGTATTGGAGTTCGCTTCTTCTCCGGCTCTGGAGAAGAGGCCTTGTCCGGGGCACTGGTCAATGCCTGCTCAGAGAGACCTCTGAGCTTCTCGAGGATGTATTTCGACGGAACAGGGCCTTTTGCGCCGTTCGGAGATGGTTCCTTGCCGCTCGTTTCTTTGGCCGTCGCTTTTTTGGGCGGTGGCTCGACGGGAGCGGCCTCGACTTTCGCCGCCGACTTCTTCTTGCTTTTCCCGTTTGTCGGATCCTGTGCACTGAGGGGCTTCCACATCGGCGGGGGCCCCAGGTCACTGTCATGAAGAAGTACGACTCTTAGGTCTTGAACGCTTCACACTGATAACGAAGCGAACATCAGAAGGTGGTCATCGAGACGGCGGTTGACAGCAGCCGCCCTTGCAGCCAAACCGAGAAGACTCTCCGTTTTTACCACGCAAAAGCACTTTAGAATTTGACATCAAACCAACCTCCGCTCATAGCCATTATTCTGTACTATCCATAAAGGCCGCACTGCATTCAGATGTACCTTTCCTTGCTGTCGCACAGAAATAGAGGCATACCTGCTCTGATTGGCAACGGCGCTGCTCTTTGCCTTCGCTGTTGGCTGGGGGGGTGGCGAGACTGCTCTGGGAGGGGGCGGAGCGGGGCCCGGCTCCTGACTAAGATCCCGAAGGCCGTCGGGAACTAGGTCTTCCCAGTCGTAAGTGTAGTCCACCGAGTTGGTGATCACGGTGGGGATGCGGCCTCCTCGCTACAATCACGCAAAACTATCTTCTCATGACCACTAAAAGAAGTCTTGAATGACCTGGCTCGTCAATACATTTGCTTTCTTCTGTGGCCCTCATTTTTTGTAAGCAGCTCGCAAGAAAATTACACCTTCCACACAGAGCACCAATCGTAGACCTCCTTGAACTCTTGGTGCCCCAAAAGAAAGAAGATCAGTCCAGTCGAGTAGGAAAGAGGTCAGGAGATAAGCACAAGAGAGGTGGTCAAAAGACGTTCTGAACGAACAAACGGTGCAACCCCACTAAAAGCGTACAGAGACCGTTAAAAGGCTCCCGTTCTGACAGCACTACAAACAAGAAGGGAGAGGCAAGAAAACAGAAGCCTTCCAAAGCACCAGAAAGGTGGCAAGACTCACCTGAGTGCGCCTGCGAGCCAGCATCACCGTCTGGATGCCCCTCGCGCTCAACTTTCCCAGGACCGATGCAAAGCCCTTGTCACCGGAGGCAATGATCACCGCCCCACGTTGTGTAGCCCTGCGGCGGACACCCAACAAAGACTGTCATTGTCGACTTGAATGTATCCTTGTTGGACATTTCAGTAGTTCTCATCAAAAGAGGGTGTAACCTTTCAAAGAAGGGCATCAATCGACTAGAGAATTTTTGAGTTTTTTTGGTCAAGGTTTCAGTCAGCAAAACTCTCCACTTGCCGCCGAACATCAAGGGGATCTGTGGCACTTGGTTCCAGAACATTCAGAGCCCTACGGAACGTCAAGTACGCATTTGCCTAGACCATGTCCGCTTCTTCCTAAGGGCTCCCTAGCCATCAACCTCACTATGGAGCCCCCACGAAGGTCTCTTGCAATCTTCGACCTTAAAAACTTCAGGGGTTCTCATGGCTCCGAACTTACCCCCCCGGCTGGTCAATGCTGTCGAGCGCAAAGAGAAGGGCGTCCGTGATGATGGCCTTGTCCGCCATCTCTTTGCCGTCCGGCACCGGCAGCACCTCCACGCCCGCCGCCACTAGGTCATCGATGTAGTGCTCTATCACGTCTAGTTTGCCGTATGCCTTCAGGCTTCGCACGCGCCTGGGGGGGGAGAATTTTGGCAATTGAGAAGAGCTCGGCACTTCTTTGGGGACTGCAGGATCGTAAGGTTCTAAGCTGATCTAGATGAAAGGCGTACTTTTGACTTCAGCGACACGATCATTGGTCAGATTCTCTCAACAGAACTACGCCCTACTATCATACACCTTTGATCCCTGCAGATGCCTGAGTGCAACGAGGTCGTGGGCGCAGGCTCCCACATGTGAAGCACAATCTGATTAACAAAGCTCAAACGGAGGGGATTCCTGGCGTTGCTGAATACAAGCAATCTACAGGGCTGTCATTCACGTACTTGAAGTGCATTTTACGCCACTCATAACCTGTGCCAACTTTTGCAGGCATGCTTCAAGTTCAACTGCTGCTAAGGGGCTCTATCACCCATCACCAAGAAAACATGAAGGCGCTCACCCGAATTGCTGCGCCACCGCCCGGATCCTCCGCACCACCGCTCCGACTCTGGCGCCCTTTGGAATCGACGAGTTTTCAATGTCCCAAAACACTCCCACCGGCTGCTGCGCAGAGGGGTGGGGCACGGGCGGATAGTACGGCGGTGGCTGCTGTTGATAGTACTGTGGCGGTGGGCTACGGAGCGCACTGCTTGGAAGAAACTGTGCATCGATGGGGGGTGTTGGCACTGGGAAGGCGATGTACTTTGGCTGGGGAGGGATCCTGCCGTCGTAGTCGTAACCATTGCCGTAAGCAGCGCCGTTGGCGCCTGGCCATGAGGCAAAACAAGCCCGAACGATGACGGCGCGGCCGAGCGCGATGTCAGCGGTGGTCGCAAGGACATTGCTGCCTAAGAATGCCGACTGTGTGAGGGGGCGAGCTAGCCGATCGAGATGTTCTTCTGCTGATTGTGTCCTGTGGCGGCGCCTGATGGCATCAAGTTTCCCATGCACTTGAAGGCTGCGGGAGATCACTGACCCACCATGCTCAGAGGGGCCATGCAACCGTGTGTTATCCGCAGTCGATGTGCATGTGGTGTGGGAGATGCAGTGCTGCGATACGGAGGCAGGCCCCTCATGATGACGAAATGCACACAAAAATCCTTGGGAGGAGCTCCACGCTTGTAGAGAAGACGCCATTGAGGCCGATGGGGCGCCTCACAGCTTCTTTGGCACTCACATCATTCGCGCACTCCCCAGGCCGCAGCCATGCGAACACGCCTCACCATTGGCATCCGAGCCTGAGAGATTTCCGGCTCATTCTTTTCCCGTTCCGATGTGCAGCATATTTGGAATTTTGAAGATGATATAAGCCATTGAACCTTTCTCGATACGAGTTGCACCGGCGCTGCTTCGAGTGTCGAGCCGTACTTTAGAGGGGAGCCAAGCCTGCTGATGTATATCGTCCTATAAGCTGCGACCGACCTCATAAGCGGGCAAATGAAAGACGCGTTTGCAAAACCCTAATCTCGGTTGTTGAGGTCTGAACTCTGTCCCTGGCCCTGGGGGCAAATGCAAGCAGCAAAGGGCAGAACTTGAAGCTTGCCGACTTCCAAGTGGCGCTGCTGCTGCGCCAGCTGCGCTGCTGCTCAAAAATTCAAGGGCTTGAGCTCGTTTTTATTCGCACATGAATCCCTTCCCTCCTTTTGCAGACTCAATTGTTCTCCGATAGGATTGCCTGATCGATTGCGTGGTTCCTTTTGGACAGTCTACTGTTGAGCCGTCATGGAGCCAGACGTGAGCATCGAAGGTGCGGCAGTGATTCGAGTGGTCGTCTTGCCTGTGGGGGATATCAGCCCGGCCACTTTTCGGGAGTACTCGTCCATGGTGCTTGCTTCGCACAAGATTGACCTCCCCCACGTCAGCTCATTCTACACGGAGCACCAGAAAAGCCCGTTCCAGTACCAGCCATGGGACACAGGCTGTTTGCAGTTCAAATTCATTTTGGGGGGAGCAAGCCGGGGGTGAGTTTCAAGCCAGTTTTCGTTTCTTGTAAGTGGTTGATGCAAAGTGTCGGAGCAAGCGACGCAGTCTGGCTGTTGCAGAGATGAGCTGGAGTTGTCCCCATCTTGAGAGGATTTAAAATTCTGATCGCAATTGGTGGCGGACATACAACCAGCTCTGCAGAGTGAAGGCGTTTCTCTTTTTCAAAATGTATGGGCAAGTATGGTTAAGTGTTTCCACTTGAACGTGTGTGGTGGCCAAGGAAATGCACGTCACTTGCAGTCTCTGAAGTTGCAGCACCATAAGGAGACTTCGCTGATTCAGGTTGTGTGCCAATCTGCAGGGTCTGGGAGGAGTACCAAGCTCATAGAAGGATCCTGGGTGTGATTGGCATCTGCCACTGTGCTCATTCTCCTGATATTGCGGAGGCGTACAACGACTTCCTCAACGCCTGCAAGGCGTATCCTGGTGCGCAAGCAAGGCGATGTTTCGCATTCGACCCCAGCGACGAGCAGGTACAACCTCTAGTCTGCCAGCCCCCATTCCCCTGCTTTGGTACACCCCAGCCTCAGCTTCTCTGCTACTGGATCTGGTAGTGCACTTCGTAACTAGTGGTGGGGAGTTATACTCACATGCATGCCACAAGGTGGACTAGAAAGCAGAGTAGGAGGACTACTGACAATACTCATTGAATCAACAAATCGAAGACAGGTTGGGTGGAAACCCTCGAAAAGAGTTTGTCAACATCTATGATTCTGAGGATTCCTTCGTTTGTCACAGGTCAAGCAGGATGATGACATCCGCGAGCCCCTCGTCATGTTTCCCGACATGCCCACTCAGCAGACCAATCAAGCAAACGACAAGCGCCAGCATCTGATCATCTTCCCCCCTTCCGACCGGAACCTTCTCGAGTTTCATCTCGGCACCATGATGCAGGTGCGTAATTTCATCTCTCATGTATGTTGGAACTTGTTGGAAACTTCAAGTCACCTTGCTTAGCGCCTTTGAGCGCCCTTGTCCTTTCCTGTTGTCAGCATCCATCGCCGATCAGAATGACGCTGATGGCTTCGTCCCTTAAGCCAGATTGATAACCCCTTATTGGGGCTGTTAATATCCTGGCATGCTACTGGATCTAACCACCCCCTCTTCCTGCAGGACTTTGCAGCCAGCGTGCTGATGGCCCTGGAGAGTTGGACACTGAATGCAGAGTCAACCAATGCAGGGTTGACGACACCCCTGGATGCCCAGGTCAGGCAATTTCTGAAAGCCCTTCCCTTTGACAGTTTGCGTCACACTTCTCCTTGAACAATGAATCTCTGATTCAGTTTTATGGACGTATTTCAGACGTCTTTCGTCGTATTGCTTCAACGAAGGATCTCATTGCAATCCGGAGCAGGCACATCTCGTCTGTCAGCTCCAGTTTCTGAGGCTGATCGTTTCAACTTGCAGCAACCAGCTCCAGTCAGGCAAGGAGAAGACATTGCACAGGCCAAGCGGCGGCGCCTGGGCCGCGTCCAGAAGACGATCGGGGACTTCTGCCTGCTCGCAGGCTCTCCCCTGGACGCACACGCTCATTATGCGACCGCAATTGAGCTGGCCCGGACCACGTTCGACAACTTCTGGCTTGCGGGGGCTCTGGAAGGGCATGTCAGCGCCCTGGTAGTGGAGAGGTGAGCCGAGGGCTCTTGCAATCGGTGAAGTAGGCTCTTCCACTGGTCGTAAAACGTCTTGCCAACTCCTTCGGTCGTGGGGCGCCACAGTTAGTCAACTCGTTCCGAAGGGGTCCTTTGTACGATGACAAACCAAAACCTTTGTTTATCACGTGCCAACTTGTTCGATTGTATATTTCTGCAACGCTTGAAGGATGCAATTCCACATACTGCAGGCTGTTGCAAAACGGGTGCATAATGGGACCGCTGGATCTCGGAGCGTGCGTAAGGAGGCTCAGCGATTGTCATCGCCATCAACCTCAGAGACGAAGTCACGTTAGCCCCGCTCACTCTTCACAAACGTTATTTCTAAATCTCAACTTTTCTTGGCAGGGGGGAAAAGGGGCGGGACGCTATCGTGGACGAGGAGGTAAGGAGCAAGTACATGGAGGTGATTGCGCTGTACCGCCGGATGCAAGTCCTGGCCTTCGAGCTCGAGGCCAGCTTCAAGTTGGCGCGCTACCTCAGCGCGAGGAGGGAGAACGCAAAGTACGCTCCATTCATCCGCAGCAATGCTTCTTTTTCTCCTCGGATTTGCAACTCCCTTTCTCGCCTGCTCTTTCACAGAAAGCAGAGGAAAGGAACCAGTTGCGGGCATTCAAACTGCAAATTTGCCTTCTGCAGTCTGCTCATTTGTTCGGTTTGGACACTTTCTTAGCTTCTGAATCTCGGATCGTCGTCGATAGAAGCTTCAGACGGAGCCAGATACGGTGCCTGAAAATGACTTCAATTGGCCACCAAGAATCACAGTCCCGCAAAATTCGAAAAGTGCGAGAGTGCGAGTTCCCCATTCGCTTATCACTGAGACAACAACCTTTACGTAGTCATGAACTAGGTCGTGACTGAGATTACGATCAAGTGCTCAAAGCCGACAATATAAGAGGGACTTGAGAAAGATTCTGACGAAGTTGTGAAAGCCACTTACAAGAACCTGACCAGACCTATAATTGACTCTTCAAAGCCAACGCCCTTACAGGGACGTGACCGAGATCCTGACTGCCTCAGCCGAGTTCAGCAAGTACCTAGGTGACCCGAGCGACCGGCTGATTGCATACATTGAGTGCTCGCGCATCTACGGCCAGCTGGGGTATGCGCGCAAGTCCGCCTTCTTCGCGCGCCAGGTGGCGCAGCAATACCAGCAACAGGACACCCGCTGGGCCGCCATCAGTGCACTCCAAGTAAGCGACTTTGTCGTGAAATTTCCCGAGCCGATTTGGCAGTGCGTAGAACTCGTGTAATGCCGATTCTACTTGCACGCAAGTTGCGTCACAATATAGAGAATCTACAGGGAGCCTTGCGGAGGGGAACGTTGCGAGGCCGAGTTGTAAAGTGCCCCATACAGATTGTTTATTCGAAAGCCAGCGATGAGTTGTACTCGTTCGTTTGATGCCGAAACCAAGTAAGCTGCATGCGAGCCTCAATCCTCAGATCTCAGCGCTCAAGCGGTTGAAGAACAGGCAGTTTCTCTGACGTTCACTGTTTTTCGAAGCAAGGGAACGGACGAGCAAGTCGGAGCCTCAGAGCATGCACACTTTTCGCGCTTGCCCGCTTCGTTTTTGCATACGAGCGCGTTTCACAACTTTCCCACCCTGCTCCAGATCCTCCTCATCACCTGCCCCCTGTACCGAGTCCACTCGACGCCTGTCTCGGTCAACGGCAAGGCCATCTCCACACCCGTTCTGCTCCCCCCGGGCACTCCCCCCGGGCAGTGGAGCGCCATCCAGGTCGAAGTTCTGGGCGACATGCTGGCGACAGCTGTCAGGGCGGGGGATCCCCTCGCAGCCTGGACGGCAGCCGCCCGGTTGCTCCGGCACCATTACGCGCTCATCACGCCGACCGGCCAGCTGTCCCTGGCGGCTGCCATGCAGGCGGCCGCGGAGAAGCTACCGGCGGGGACACGGGGGACGGACCCCGCGCTGCCGTTCGTGCGGCTGCAAGGGCTGACGCCACTCCCGCCTCCGATGCAGGTGGGTCAATGTTCGGGGGGAGCGAGCTCAAGCCAGAGTTAGATATTCGGAGTGGTTTCACTTGAAGACTAGTAAAGTAGGACGAATAGAAGGACACGTGCTCGCTTGCATTCTCTGATTAGGCGTCCGCCCGAAGTCGTGAAGAGAGTTATTACCGATGTGGATCTGGTACTCGTTACAGTAAAGCTAGGTTTTAAATGTCAATCCGCTACAGCAGCGGAGACTTGTTTACGACGACGAGTAAGCAAGTACGTTTCAGCAACTTACATTAAAGAAGGCATATGTCTCCGTGTGTAGCCTGAAGGGCGACGGAATAGCTGCGATTGTTCCTGCGCTAGGTCACTCGTCCAGTCAAGTTGCCGAACCATGTCGGCAGTAAAATCAGCCTCCCTCGTTCACTCAGAGTTGTCTCCAATTCTCTAACCTTTGTCCAAATTCTGAATACTCATCCTGTCCGACTCCCCTCCTCTGTTGCAGCCCCTGAAAAGGGACGCGCAGGGGAAGTGGCGGTCGGGAGGAGCCCCCGGGGAACGGAGCGGTGCAAACCCGGGCCCTTTCCTGTACTCGCCCTTCCAAAAAGAGGCCTCCAAAGGGGCGGAACCGGTGGTGTGGGTTGTGGGGGAGGTCGCTCAGGTGGTGGTCGAGCTCACAAACCCCTGCGGGTTTGAGGTGGGTTAGTGGAGGTTGGGATGACCACTCTTGAGAACCGAATGCTTGTCCATCATTTTGAACCGTTGCGAAGGTGGCCTGCCATCTAGCGAGCCTTGTAATGTCAAAACGCTTCCTTCTGCGATTGGCTCCATCTCGAACAGCTTCGATCGATGTGTTCATTGCTTCCTTACCTCGACGCATTTAGCTTCAACAACCAGGTCTCTATTTGGAGAGGAATTGCCGCTAAGCATGATTCGAAGGTGGCTTGCATGGGTTAGCACTTCACCACAACTAGCCTGACAGATTCCAGCGTCCCTGATTTTCTCTTTCTTCGGCTGTCATTCCTTTATTCTGAAACACTTGAAGTGGACTTCCAGCCGGAAAGAAGAAGTTTTGCGCATCTGCTCGTGCATGCAGCGTAATCGTGCTTGATTTCTACAGCAAGCAGTACAAAACAAACGTAAGCACCGGTCTCCGCAGGTCCATGTTGAGAGCGTCTTCCTGAGCGTTGAGGGGGGCGATTTTGAAGCGTTCCCGGTGTCCCTGAGCCTGCTCCCCTACACCGCAAGCCACCTCCTGGCGCTGTCAGGGGTCCCGCGAGCGTCCGGCACAGTGAGTAACTATGTCACTAGTCGCGCCCCAACGATGTGCATCTGTTGCAGTTCTGTGTGTAGGTTGTATCGGTAAGCATAAGCACCATTGCAGGCACTTCTTGTGGTGGCCTTTCCGTGCAGCTTTGTCTTCGTCTTCAACCGCAGGCAGGATTGTTATGCGGACAGTAGGGATTTCCAAAACCCGGGTTTCGACCTTACAGAGGTCAAGACGACTCTCGCAACTGTTTTCTTACAATTCCTCGCCTCTGATCAGGTAAAAGGGCCTTCTGCTGCTCACACAAGCTGACAAACCATCATGCTGAATTCTGGACGAACATCACGAACATCAAGTAACCGGAGTCAAGGCAAAACTCCCTCCACTCCTTACCTCAGGTAACAGTCCGGGGCTGCTTCGTGAAGTCTTTCGGGGTTCTAAGCGAGCACCGCTTCGACGACAAAGTCACGGTCAACGGCACCCAGCTGCTGCCAATGCCGGCAAACGGGTCTGCATACCCGTTCAAGGGGCAAGGGGCACGAAAGAGGCTGGGCCAGAGGGGCGTCCAGGTTTCTGTGGTCCCCCCCTTGCCGCTGTTGGTAGCGAGCATTGTGGGAGGAGAAGCGGCCGCGGTGCTGTATGAGGGGGAGGTCCGGGATCTGCAGGTTGGTGTTCTGGACTCCAGCTCCGGCGGGGCAACATAAAGGACATTCTAACGTTTCAAGGAAATTTTACAACGCAGCGTTTTCAAGTGTAATGTGTTGGAACGAAATCAGAAGCGTTGGAGACCACAGGCGGGGACCTCGACATGCAGTGTTGAGCGTTATTTTCAAAACTTGATTGTTGATCCACCACATACGAGATGTCAGCCCGACTTTCCCAGATAGTGAAAGCTTCACATCGAACGTGGTCAGGTTAGAACCAAAATACATTTCAGTGGACCACGGGACTGTCGAAAGGCTCATAAAACGCTTGCCGCTCACGTATCCATCCCCCAGCACAGCGAACCATCCTTTGAGCTCTCACCTCCTGACCTCATTTCGCAGGTCTGCCTGACCAACGCCGGCGTCGTCCCGGTGACCGAGGCCCACGTGTCTCTCACCGGGAAACACCGAGACCACGTGACTCACGTCGGGAAGGAGGGCCTTGCCGCCGCCCTTCCGCTCGCACCGGGGGCTTCCGTCTCCATTCCGGTCCGCCTCAAGGCCGGACGTCCGACGGTGACCAAACTAGACATGGGCCGAACGGGGCACACGCCAGCGCACGCGGCGCGGGCGTCGGCGGGGTCGGCGAGCACCACTTTGGCAATCCACTATGCGGGGGATGTGTTTCGGCCAACCGGGGAGAAGGGGTTGGACGGGAAGGGCCTGTCGACCATTTTGGAGGAGCAGACTAAGGTAAGGAGCGCAAGGTTTTTCAAGGTTGCTAGAAAAGCATCTGCGGAGCAGGGTTGGTTTGCTCGATCCAGTTATCAAAACGTGAATGACCGCTGCTGAATTGTAAGAGCTGGCGGAATGAGCCGCAGACTTGAAGAGAGACTTGGAAAGGGTTTGTCGACCTGGCCTTAGGTTTGTACGACCACCATTGCTGTGGATTTAAACGTAAAGTTGTAGCAGCTCCTTCGTACGTCACCGGCCTATTTATGTTCTGTTGTCAGAATCCAGCTTTTGTTCCTTCCTTCAAAGCTCTTTGTTATATGTCCAGAAGTTTTCTGTGACATTGCTCAACGTCTGTCAGCCTTTTGGCCACAGGTTTCTGGAGCATCTGCGCACGGCAAACCGGAGTCTGGAGGGGGTGAGCCGACGGCGGGGGAGCTAACCCCCGGCCGGAGAGTAGGCCTTCCCTTACAACTTCACGTGCAAAGAGGGCTAGTGTTAGTTCAGGGCAAACTGCTGACGTTGGACGCTCCGGAGAGCACCCAACCAGCTGCTGCTTTCCCTGCGGGTGAATCTCGGACCGGATCTCGAAAGGCCTCGTCATCGGAAGCTTCGAGGGGGCCGTCCGATTTATCAGACGGTGCAAACCGGACACAAGTAAGTGCCGTAGGCGGATCGAACGAAACAAGCGGGCAGGAAAGTCACACGTCTGGTTTGGAAAACGGCGAAGTTGCTTTGCGGGAACCTGAAAACGGTCCAGACGAGGCGGCAGCCCCAAAAAGGAACCAAAGCGACGATCGGGGGGCGAATATTCCGGGCGCTCTCAGGGGGTCCAAAATCCGGCTGCTAGAGCTGGAGCTCTGGAACGGCACCGACGTCGTGTTCGAGGTCGCGGTCGAGACACGTGGCGCGGAGGGCGGGGAGGCCGACGCGGTCGACGGGGAACTCGGGAGCCTATTCACACACCCCCCAACGCGCATCGACCGGGACAGCTCCGCCCGGGTGCTCATTCCGCTGCGGGGACTCTTTGTGCCCCGGGGGGGTCGGGCTCCGGGCGCGGCCACCCCCACGAAGCAGTTCGTGCTGCAGCGCAGCGCGAGCGGGCGGCAGATGACGCCGGCGGAGAGCGCAGCGGCGGCGCATTTCGAGGCGTACGTGGACGCGCTTTGTGCGCAGATCAGCGTGCGGTGGCAAAGCGGGCTGAACAGCACGGGGGAGCTGCCGGTGAGGGACGCCGTGCGCGAGGCGCTGCAGGGGCCGTCGCTGGACGCGTTACTGCCGGACCTGCTGGGCTTTGCCTTCCGGATCGCACGAGGTGAGCGGTGGACCGTCAGATCAAACTTTTCCTTGTAGTTCCCATGTGCTACAACGGGCTCTGTGCTACCTTTTTTACGAGGTTCGGTGGAAGAATAGAAGCAGCTTGTTGTATGGGACCTGGAATGGATCCGTCTGGTTCTGAGGCGGACACGTTAGGCAGGCTAAAGTGGAAAGGGCCTTGCTTGAGGTTGACGTTGCTGCCCACCTGAACCTCTTCTCACTAACAAACCCGCCGGCCCCACTCTGCTCTCGTCACCGCCCGTGACCACGTGATCGTTGATACTGGCGTCAATTTGCCACCATCTGTTTCCTGGGGTCCTGCCTTGATGTCCTTGTTCAAGCTCCTCTTGACACAATTGTCGCACTTGCTTCAGTCGAAGGAAGACGACCGCTAAAGAACGGCTCCTTGCTCACTAACCGCTGTTTGTCTTTTGCAGATGCCTCATCGTACCGAGATAAGCAATCGCCCCTGGTAAACGGGACTCCTACATCCTCGAAAGGCACGCACAATGTGGTCGCGGCCCGGGAGATGACGCCCGTCGAGTTGAGCATCCGCAACAACTCGGCGGAACTTGTACATATAGCTCTGACCGTCATGTGCAAGTGAGTACTCTGCCTCAAACAAAGTGTGGACGGAGCGCCTGCTTGGCTCACAGCAGCTGTGCCTCATGGGATGCTTTGCTAAATATTGCCTCTACTCGACTTATAAGCTTGCAACTCACCTTACTTGACTTAAACTGCACCCTGAAGCGGTTCTCTGTTCAGCAAAGCGCCCGGCTTTGAGATCTCGAGACCCTACAAGGTTTTCGTTTGTTTATCAAACGACCACTCTGGATCGCAGAAACGCCACGGGACTGACTGCTCGCGTCGCTTGCGCCCCGCTGTCCAAGGCGTTTTCTGAATAATCACTTTGGTTTGCAGAGACGTAACGGGAACCGACTGCTTGCGACCTGCCAACTCGAAGGCCACGGTGTTGTGGGCCGGTGCTCTGGGGGCCGTGCACTTGGAGGCCCCGCCCCGGGGGCAGTACGTCCATAAGTTTGCCCTCTGTTTTCTGGTAAGTCGTCACTAGTCTTTAACTCCCCTTTACAGTTTTTGTGAGCCCACGCTGCAAATCATGTCGCACGACTTCGGCCGACTTAGAGCCTCTCCAAGGCCATTCTTCGTGCCTGCTTATGAAGTGCTCACAGTCTGTAAGATGGACGCTGCGCTTGTTGGTGTTCCATCTCGACTGTCCAATCACGGCTGCTTCAAGCGCTAATGGGATGTTCATCTGCTGACCTTAACATAACGCCCCATGTTTATCACTGTTTCCAGGTTCCAGGGGAGTATACCCTCGTGCCCAGCTGCATTGTGCAAGCAACAATCAATCAGCACCAATTGACGAATACTGAGGACGAAAGTCATCCAAAAGTGGGCTCTGAGTGCCTAGGACGGCCGTTCAAGATCTACGTACGGTGATACGAGTATACTGCAAGGATGCTGACAAACTCAGCCACGGTGCGCTTCAGTGTAAACGAGAAGTCCTGGCGGGCTGCTGATTGATGCCTTGCACGCTTGACTGGGCAGGTCCGGTAGGCGCATTTGTCAAATGCACCGAATGTTCAGCTTCAAATTTTTACTGCTGCATGCACCATCGTGCTTTCAGCTGCATTATCTGCTTTGTGCCGTCATGGCTGCACTGCACGTGAAATGAAGTGGAGTTGCACAGGCCACCATGCCCGTTCCAATTGATCATGGGCACCTTGCATGCATGGCATGGGGTTGGATTCGACGTGCAACTTGCAATCCACATGTACGGTTTGAGCAAGACCTCAACCAATCCGGTTAATATGCTAATTGAAGCATGCTTCACACGTCATCGTCATATGATATAAGAAAAAAGTATGGTCTTAATCAACGCAGAGAGCTTCATGGGATCTCTTCTGTCTCCCTTTGATCGGTCGCCGCTGCAAGAGTTTCACAACTGGCGGCCACGAAGCCAATGAATTTGAGCGTCTGAGCTGTCTCGCAGGGTTCGGATTGTATGCAACACACCAAACACTACCCTACAGACCCGAACTCTACAGCACAGGCATGGCAGGTCTGATGAATCTTGCCAAACCCAAAAGCAGAGCCTCTCTATGCCAGCATCTCCTACATATGTACAAGCTAGCCGATGAGCCTAGAAACGACTCTGTACAACCTAGGAGTCTCGCGCTGGTGCTCTAAAGAAAGGGCGTGCCTATCGCGCCTTGCTGTGGAGGACCCGCTCCAACTTCTCGGCTTTGTAGTACTCTTCCATGCCAACCCGACCCTCAGGGAACCTAGCAATGTCGATTTTCATACGGGGAAAGGGGTTGTCATCGTACAGGGCATTCACGCCGTTGCAGGAGACAGTTTCTGAATGCGCGCTCTCACGCCGAATCTGGCAACCCTGGGAGGAAACGAAGGTAGCTAGTATGAATGCAACATCAGGGGCGATCAGACTCGAAACAATTCTCAGTCCCAAGACGACCAGTCCTTTTCGTGGTAGACAGAAGATGAGGCGAAAGAATCTGGATGAATGTGGGTTGCAATGTATTTTTGAAGGTGGAAATATGAAGGTGCTTGCATTGATTCGAGCGTTTTATAACCAAGTAGCGAACAGCGGTTTGCCTCAGCATACTAAATCAGAGATTCTGATGGCAAGCATTTTAGGACTCGACGCGTTACTCGCAAACCTGTGCACTCCTTCTATGGAAGCAGAATCCAGTGCTCATCTCTAAGCAATTGATGACCCTTTAGTGGGAAAGAGACCATTGAGACAGTGCAGCGATAAGCGAGAGACACGCTCAAACCTACATCAGAAAAGGCGTCCACGGGTCCCTGAGAATAACCAACGCAACCACGAAAACAGATTCCAGGTCAAGGATTTTTTGGCGGGGAAACTTCGTCAAACTACCAGGGGCAGCATACCTTGTGCGTGTCTGACATCTGGAAGGTGTCGTCCTCTGAGAGGACGTCGCATATCATTCGCAGCCTCTTCCGACCATCCTCCCGCGATGCGCACCGCCACTTTCGCCGCAGTATGCAGGGGACTCCATTGTAGTTGTTGACAATCTTCCATTGCTTTGTTGCTCTCAGAGTTTTTGTCTCTTGCTCCTCTGCACAGCAGGAAGAGTGGGCCACGGTAAAACCACATTCCAGCCAGAATCTGATCAAAGAAAGCACACACAAGCCAGCATCCCACTCCTCAAAGTTTGGAGCTTTTGCTCAATTCTTTCAGGGTCATTGTTATTTTCTTCGTGCCAGCTGCAAAGCGTACAGGCGTCCACACGAGCCTGACCTTGCAGGGTGACAAGGGAGACTTTCACCGAATCCAAGAGGTCTGCTCGTTTACTTTAGGGGATGTGTCTTCTGCACAATGCACCACTCTCGTCCAATCAGGTTTGCTAGCAAAAAAGCTGCATACCTTCTGTCACCTCGCGTTTGTATGGTACCGCAATGCCTGCTCGCATAAGCACGTAGAAACCCACCAGGCGCGCAAGGAAGGAGGGCGCTGTTTGGGCGAGGTTGGGAAGAACGAGCACACTCGGGAGGATTGCCTCGATCAGTGTTTTCTGATGTGTGACGGGTCTTGAACCTGCACGGAACGGGGTGCACATGCACTGCACATCAAGGCTATTTCGCAAACTCTTTGCTTGTGAAGGTCGTGAAACGACTTCCTGACTGACGGTCTTGACTAAAACAAGGAGCTGCAGGTCTCGTCCAAGGAGGAAGCAAGCAAAGAGAACATGGAACATCCAACACAACCTGCATGAACCTTGCATTCCAATTCGGACTCTCGGCAGTATACCTTCATGCATCACGCCCCCCGACCGCCGGTCTAGTCTTCCATTTGATACGAGAAGAGAATGGCGAATTTTCTGGTCCACATTAGCAGTGTAGACTGACCTTCAGGAGCTGTCCTCACAGCTTCTCCCTTGAACGAGGATCGCAGAGTGGTCCCATCAGGATGCTTCCCCTGGTAGCCCTTCCTCCCCCTCAACTGAGAACTGCTCCAACTCTGCAAGTGACAGGAGGTGAGACCCGTGCTTCGACTGAAAGTCCTTCGGCAGGGATGTGCCCTCGAGTCTCTCTGGCACCTCAATCTTGGAGGCAGGGTTAGTGACCCTGTCAGCGTCGCTGCTGCGACCGCGGTTGATGTTGCCATTGAATTCGGCGTTTGTTTGCCTTCCCCTAGGAGAGATGGGGTTGTTCCTAGACCTTGTGGGAGAGATGGAGCGCGTCCTTGAGAGTGAACTGATCCTGCCTGGGGGTGGGTTTGAATGAGCGGCACCTTTTGCGGAACTCGAGAGGGCTGCTGATACTGCAGATGGACAATGGGGTACAAAGGCCATGCCTTACATCATCTGAAACATTGATGGTCTTTTGATTGATGGGACGCTCTGAGCGTCTCCACAGAACATGGCTAAACCTGCACCCCCCAAATTTGTACGAAGCGACCTGACCGCAGCTACCAAGAAAGACTTCCTTGTTGCCAGCAAGCGCCTTGAAAAGCAACCTAGAATACCTAGAGGACGCCTAGGTTTGAGACGAGCCGAAGGTTTGTGCTTCACTGCTTCTGCATGAGGGCTGCATTGCGTCTTCTGTAGACCTGCATATGTTACTAACGCTTGTTATTTTCTCGATTTTGAAGCTTTGGAGAGGGATATGCTTCTACTTTTCGCGTTGATAAGTATGGACCGGGGGCGGTTTTGTGCTGAAACTACGCAAACCGGGCACCTCGTAGCCGTTCAAGATGACGTGGCATAAATATCTTCCCCACTTCGAAAAGGCATTCAAATGTCTTATGATGTGGGTAGAATTGAGGGAATATGAAGCGCAGATTTCTGGTCTCGCAACCAGCCTTCTGATTCTGAGATTGCAAATTTGAAATGTCAGAACTTCAAACTTGTCCCTTCTGCTGAAGTCGCATGCATCTTCCCCCTGCCCTTCAGCACAAACGTACCTTTTGGAAGGTTCTGCCACAACAAATTGCATCTGAGCGATACAATCCAAGGGTTTTTCATTCAGGTCTGCTTTCTCGTCCGTACGCTCAATCCAAGCTTTTCTTGAGCTGAGTGGAGGGAGAGAGTTTTCTTGTTCTGAAGCTGAGTAGAGCTACATCATTCGTTGCAATCGCAGTTGCGGTGCTTCATTGCTTTGTGCGCTTATGGCGCAGCTTGACGTCAATCGCATTCAGGTGAGAGATGATAATACCTTTTTGCGACGTGTTACACTTAGTAGTTCCAGTGCTTGGGCTATGTGAGATCGTGTTTAGTTTCATGAAGCGGTTCACGTTGATCGGTCTTCTCCAATTGCCTACGTACATGATTGATGATTCTGATGCAGCTGAAGGAAATGCACTCTGAATCCAGAGCCATTGGTTGGCGTTAAACTCACGGCTTTCTCAGCAGAAAACTAACACATTGCTCTGAAATGCAAGCAATTTGTCAAGAATTTTCCATGCTCTAACCAGGACTTGGGCATTTGCAGAAAGAGCTGGTTGAGATAGAGAGGGACAAGAATTCGGGCGTCAGCGTCACGATAATTGGTGGCCAGCTCAGCCGGTTGACAGGCACCATAAAAGGCCCCATTGGTACACCATACGAGGTGAGAATTGGGTGTCCTGCTCTTCCTGCTCGCTAACGTGTCAGATACACTTGGTTTGAAGGTTACGCGCAAATATGCTATGCTCGCAGAAGCAAGAAGTGCAGCTCGGGTTTCAAAGAGGGTGGGCAAAGGTGATGGGCGGTTCAGAACTTGCACGCTTCTTGTTGCCACTTCCATCCTTTTCTGGCGCTCTACAATTCCAAATACATGCTGAGACATCAAAAGGATTCCCCTGTTGAATGCGCCACTAGAGAGACACAGTCAGCTTGAGATCTGGCTCACTTATCATTGAAGCATACAGTGCAACACACTTCCTCCTTTCGGGTGTTGCAGGGGGGAATCTTTGTTGTTGACATCACCTTAACAAGTGAGCCAGTCCTCCTGATGATATTCTCCCAAATTGATTGTGCTCCCCGTCTTTAGAGAGTCGTGCAAAAATTTCTAAGGGGGTCCATTGCTCCCACCAGGACCATTTTACTTCTGTTTTCTGCAATTGCAAGAATGTGTTGTAGAAGTATGTTAAATTGGCAAGCAGCTTAGAGCTTAGTAGAAGTTGACACTGGTTGAGCAGATAGTTGTGTGCAAACTTCTTAGAATCAGCGACATAAGCGAAGTGGGAAGGACGTTCTGAATCATACCCGTATGATCGCACTGCAGGTATTTTTTGCACTTGATAATTCTCACTACATCTTGCGACATAATGTTCCTGACAACGGACCGACTTTGTGCTTTTGCAGAGTCATATCCTTTTGAGCCCCCAAAGATGACATTCAAAACCAAAGTGTGGTAAGCTTTTTTGCCCTCCCTGACCATGCTCTTCGACTTCAAAGCAACAAGGGCTCTTTGGGGCGTCAAAGCAACCCCGATGATTCTTGTAAGCGCGTGCTGTAGGCTCCCAAAGAGCCCCGTCATTGGGTAGAACATAAGGTGTCTAGCTCTATCTCGAAGTCGGCCTCCACAATCCCAAGGCTCCGAAACGCTGATCTCTACTAGAAGAATCGTTGGATTTTGCGCAGACTCAACGGCAGTGTTTTAGGTTTGATTTCCCAGAAAGCGAGTCTCATATCCTATAGCAACCAGTCTCATATCTGCATAACTGTGAAGGTTTCAAGCCTGCGACTTGTTGCCCAGGAACCGAGGTCAGCATGTGGTGCGAAACTTCGGAGAAGGTTTGTCAACTTCGGGTGGTCCAATACCTGGTCGGAGCTTGCTACACCACAGACTTTTCGACGCGGGCCAGAAACGGACCTATCGGTGTCTGTTTACGTTGTCCAGGCTGTCATGGTCGACAAAGTCTACTTGTTGGCGGCCTGAAAGCTGACCACTGGGTTGGTATGCCGGCTTCTAGTTATAAAGTGGACCGTTTCCTGGCGCCCTTTTGAATGAGAGAGGACGTTGCCCGGTGTTGCAGGCATCCGAACGTGAGCAGCGCAAACGGGGCGATCTGCCTGGACATTTTGAAGGACCAGTGGAGCCCCGCCCTCACCTTGAAGACCGCCCTCCTCTCCCTGCAAGCCCTCCTCTCGACCCCAGAGCCCGATGACCCGCAGGACGCTGTCGTTGCACAACAGGCAAGCAGGCAATTCTTGAAGCCAGATTGAATACCGCCAGACCATATATTGACGAACTACTTGCAAGATAGGATTGCAGGACTTTTTCCAGGGCGCAGTCTTTGCGCACAGACAAGCAGGCAATTAACAGATACCCTCTTGATTTCAAGATGCGTCAAGACCTGCCAATTCTGGAACTTAGAAGCGGAAACTCAGGGGTATAAGATGGCGCTTGTTTGCACATTATCCCGAACGGTCAGGTCTGCAAGCATAGAGCCGGCCTGCTTGGCCGCTTCGACCCGTTGGCCTCAGGTGCAGACAGTCTAATCATCGAAACACGAGCAGGTGTGGAGCCTTCGTCCCTGGAACATCGGCAAAGCAGTTCGCAGCAAAGTTTTGTTGTCTCACAACTAACTGTGGCGTTGAGGCTGGCCCCAGAAACTTTATGGTATTGCGGACAAAGGGTGCAATCAGGGCAGGAGCTATTCCGAAGCCGACTGTGCAGCTCAGAGGCAGCTTCTGAGTCATCGGGAAACATTACATTTCAGTCAGTCTTCGTGATGAGTATTCACTGCAAAGCACATAGCATCAATTGGATGTAAAGTCGCCTCATGCAAGCCGAGTAGCTGGACATTTGTCTTTCTCTTCTATCCTGTGACTTCCCGGTGTTCCCTTGAGGTGTATTGCATCCCCTTCGTGCGGACGAAGATAGGGCTCTCATGACTAGCTAGAAGAGAGCATCAGCTGATGCAAAGTCCTGATATTGTGCAGTACCTTCGGAACTACCAGGACTATGTCACGACCGCTCGAAACTGGACGAACGCTTTTGCCACCGGGGATCGGGGACTGCAGGAAAAGGTGAGCGGAATCAAATCCTTGGCAATCATGCCTTTTCGTGCGAACAGGTGGTTGTGGTGCGAGATAAACCTTAAGTATATTAAGCGCCTCCGCAAAGCATCTAAAGTCCAGATTTTAGGGCGCAGCCTTTTGTTCGAGAAAACGAGGACTGGTCCTGCGGATTCTAAAAGTTTCCTGCATTCTCTAGACGTCTCCCCCGACGAACTATGAAACTAGCTGCCCCGTGTGAGCTTGTGACCTTTTGACTGCCTTGAGGTCCGGTATGACATACATTGTGAATCCTGACAAGGTTTCGCCTCTCAAAGGGGCCTGGCTCCCAAGTGCCAACCGCATTCAATTTGGAACGGGTGAAGGCTCGTCGTGCCTCGCCAGAACCTCGCGCTTTCCGTTTTCAGGTGGCGAAGTTGGTGGAAATGGGCATACCAGCGGAGGCGGCCCAAGCGGCCCTCGAAAAGGCCGGAGGGGACGAGAATGCGGCCCTCGAGGTGCTCTTCAGCAGTTGACATATGCTTGGCGACAGGGTCGAAGTCTGTATAAAACCATCTAAATCGGAGAGTCTTCTTTGAGAACGAGGAAGACGTGCGCCTGCTTTGTCGCTTTTCCAAGGGCAATCTGACGCCTTTGTTAAATCCTAGCCCAGAAGACAAAGATGTATTGTAGGAAACTATGTTGAAGCTGCTCAATGATATACATTCGCAAGCTACTATACGGAATATAGGTACACTTTTGCAATTTTATCTCGCAAAGAGGATCGCAGCACCTGGGTTTAGTCGTTGATGCTCATTCCGTACGTCAAGTATTGAGGATTGCGTATCATGCATTTTAGTGCAGGAGGCTGTGATTCAGGGGCCGGTGCTCAGTTTAGGTTGTGTCGTTCTGTTATGGCCGCCATTTTGCATGTGTGCGCACCTCACGGTACACATGCACATGGCGGATGGCAGCCCGATTTGATCGAGGGCCAATGAAGCTCTCTAATTAAGTCTTGACGCTATAGCTGCATAGCACATGCCAGTGATGAACAGCAATATTTCATGTAAAGAATTGTAGGTCACATATTTGTGTGCATGCAATAATGATTGATCGAAACCGAGCTACTAGTAACGCAATCGCGAGCCTGTAGATTGTTGAAATGGTCCGACGTGACTCCGTAACTGGCAAGATATACTCGATTGAACTAGGGGCCGCGGTCCCTGCGCGCCCACACATCTGTGCGTCGTAGCGTGTATTGACATGTGTCCATGGTATTCATCTCAATGCAGATCAGCATCATGTGCATTGATTGAGACCGGACGCACGGCCCTGCTATAGGAGTCTTCTGAGAGCTACGCAACAGTACGAATGGAGGGGCTACTGAAATGGAGGGGACCATGCCTGTTCTTCTGTTCGGTTGTTGGAAGCAAGGTTGCATAACGATATCAGTTGATCGATCGTGTCCAGCGTTGTTTGGGTACAAAGGGTTGATCTCGTACGTACGTACATTGACCGGCATGCTATGATGAGCTTTGCGTCAAAGTATACAAGGGGATCCAAACAAAGAGGCCCGCCTAATGAATCAAAGTGAGAGTGAACATCTATGATACAGCTATTACTGTCACGTATCCAGCTCTTGCACAACCCGAGCGGCCCACTCCTTATCCTTGGCTTGCAGCCGCTCGATTGCCGCCAAAATTCTCTTTCGGTCGCCCAAGCTGGTGATACCCAGCTCGTCCCGCAATTCGTCGCCTTTGAGTGTCAGAAGCACCGAGCCGTCAATGTGTTGCTCGGCGAAAGCGCCCACCAAGCGACCGAGCCCCTCGGCGCGCAGCCACTCCCCGACGTTCGCTTCCGTCCACTTCGACGGCGTTTCTGCGGGTGGTAGGGAATCGTAAGCTGGTGACTCTGAACATTTAAAAAAGAAAATCCTGGGTATTTGGAAAAACTGTGCACTAGAGTGCCTGGAATTGAAGTTGTTGGCTGCAGCAAGAATATGTTCCTGGGTAAATGGAAAACAACTGTGCGCTAGAGTGCCTGGAATTCAAAGTTCTTGGCTGCAGCAAGTGAAAGGCAGCCTCATCCTGAGACCATGAGTTGTCGGCCATGAGTTGTCGGAAGCATGCCCAAGATCGACGAAAGGGTCGAGGATTGAACGGAAGCACCACATTCGACAATTTCGTGAACAGCCAACAAGAAAACGACTTGTTCAAAGCGGTCTTGGAAATGGATAGGAACTCCCCAGGACCTCGAACCCAAAATATCGACAAGTTTTTGAAAGCAACGCTGCCAGATCTGGATCAAGCACAGATAATGTCAGACGAATCTGCACCGAACTGCCCCTAACTCGAAACCAATAGTCAGAATCTAGTCTCCCTCAGATTACGCAGGACAACTTTGTCAATTTGCCACTGATCTCACCACAAATCAAGCAAAGACAATCCTGTCGACTTGCTGCGCAAACAAACTCGATGCGGCCCAAGGCAACTCACCGCTCGACCACGCCACACGCGACAACTGAGCGTCGAACTCCATCAACTCTTTCGACGCGCGCTCCAGCTCGTCGGGCTCCGGGAGTGCGCTTTCTCGCGCACGCGTGCGTGCCTCCTCGACCATGTCCTTCCGCTCTAGTTGCAGGTGCACCAGCCCAAACACGAGCGACAGCCACCATGCCTCACCCCTCAAATACCCCAGGACTGATACCCCCTGGAACGGGGCTGACAAGAGGTACAGCAGTGCAGGAGCGCCGTAGATGAGGGCATTGCGGATGAAGGCGCCGCGGCGGGTACCTTGCTGCAAGGAGAAATAGAGGGTTAGCAACTGTGGCCGGAGGAAGGTTGAAGGTGTGGATAGACACGACATTGCAACGAGCTTGCAAACACTTCAGAGGGACAGGCAGACAGCGGAGTGAAAGAAGGTACCAGTGAGCTAACAGCCTCGATTTGCAACCCAACTGCTCCACTGGTTGGAAGCAAAGCATCGTACGGACTTGTGGTGACATAAAGCTGACATCAACGCAGGTCGTTCTTGCATAGAATTCCAACCTCACCGCGCAAAATTGGATGTGTGGTTTTATTTTCGGTTGAGTGACTGCTTCCCTTTGAAATTCAAGACCCCAAAGGACCCTGACTTGACATGCAATTTGTAGAGAAACCAACTAGCACTCACCACAGCTGTTGGGAAAGCATCCGTTGCCGCAAACCAGGCCAGCCCATTGAGCCCTGGCACCAAACTGAGGACTGTGGGCCCCCACCAAGCGACGTTCGCCACCTCTCTCAATGCCTCATTTGCCTCGTTCGCCCTCCTCACCGCTAAGTCCTCTGCACTCTCTTTTTTGACGGGCTTCTGAGCCTTCTTCTGCCCCATCTCAGAAGGGAGATTACTCCTCATGTCTCGCAAGCCCCTCTCGACTTCCGCTAAGGCCATCCGCTTCAGTTGTTCTCCAAGCGAGAGTTTCTCTTCTTCTTCGGACTCTGCCGCTTGTTTCCTCTGCGCCCGGCTCACTAACGCCCCCACAAAGTTGCTTGTGATTGTGAGCGTGAGCACGATGTCCAAAACAGTCCGAACCACCCCCCCGAAGCCCCAAAATCCAAACCCTGAGAGTAAAGCAAGGGGCAAACCAAACACGGGGACAAAGAAGAGGAGCAGCGGGCCAACAATCGCCAAGACCGCCGTAAGGGCTGATAGCGCTGCAACGGCGCCTACGCTTACAGCAATTGTTGGGATCGTGAATGCAGCTGCAACTACGCCCGCGCTTGACAGAAGCACGGGCACGACGAGACCAACTAGACCGAGGGCAAAAACTAGAGTGCTGCTGGACCGGTCCCTTCGATCCCTTCCCCAGGGGGGCCATCGCCGGTCTTTCCGGGCAGCTACGATGCACCGGCGGTTTGCAGTGGTGGGGAGTGACGGGGGTGAAGTTCTGGGCAGAAAACCTCTGGTGGTGCCACCAAGACAGTGCCAAGAAGAGAGAGTGCTCAGATCAAATTTGTTCCAGCCTGGACTAGAGATTTGAAGCTGGTGGGCAGAGCTACCAAAAGCTTCCCTATGCGCACTCCTTCGAAGGGGGTCCTGACAGCTGGCGGCGGGCGCCGCATGCTGATGGGGGGCCAATTTCGTGACTTTCAACAACGTCTGCTGCTTGTTCTGATACCCCCCAACATGCGCATGGCTGATGCAAGCATGGCCACCAAGCAGGCTTTGCACTGGCTTTCTCGGGGCCCTGCTGTATGCATGGGAGGCGGGCAGGCCGTAGCCGGTGGCTCCGACCGCCGCCAGGGATGCAGACATGCTTCTCAGCTGACGCGCACAATCCCTTTTAGCTTCCCTGTGTCCTGTTGATCCTTTGCTCCAAAGCCCGAGTATCTACGCAACTTTCGATCCAGCATCAACCCTCCACCCTCCACCAAGAGCACGACCTTCAAAATTGACCCGGACGCGGTCCCCGCGGTCGCGCGAAATTTCACTCTATGAAACTTTGTCGCACCGTAGACTGCCGACTTGCGGCCGACACTCAGCAGAATTGCGTCAGGTTCCTGCGAAGTCCAGTCTGCATTTCAGTCCTGTAAGAAGTACCCTATCCCCCGGGCAGGTCATCCAGACCATAGCAGGACTGCTTTGGGCGACACCATTCTGCCCGGTTGT